CTCATTCAAGGGTTTTTCTTTATTTTTACTATTTTCTACATTGTAGAATAATAGTGAAGACATCAAAATTATGAAATAACACATATGGAATCATGTAGGACCCAAAAAAGTGTTAAACAAATCAAAATATATTTTATATTTGAGATTCTTCAAATAGCCACCCTCCAATGGCCTCATGGTGACATCCCTGAGCAGTTTCTTCCTGCCCTGCAGCTCAGTTCAGAAGGACGACTGTATCTTTGTTGTGTCTGGGTGGTTGAATACATCATCCACAGCATAATTATTAACTTGACCATGCTTAAAGAGATATTCAATGTCTGATTTGTTATTGTTACCCATCTACCTATCACTGTCCTTCTTAATGAGGCTTTCGAAAAGCTACCTGGTCTTTGTAGTTGAATCTGTGTACTTGACTGAGGGACCTTACAGATGTTGAATGTATGGGGGACAGAGGAAGGGGTAGTCATTAAAAAATCATGTCAACCCCTATTATTTCACACAGAGTGAGTCCCTGTAACAAATTATGTGATTTGTTTAGCCACATTTTACTCCTGAATTAATTTAGGCATGCCTAAACAAAAGGGTTGAATATTTTACAACTGTACTAATTTTATTTTCACTTTGACAATTTGAAGTATTTTGTGTAAATCAATGACAAAAATCACAACTAAATGCATGTCAATCCCACTTTGTCATGCAGAATGCTCAGGTGTATCCCATTGCGGAAGAGTTTTAAAATCTGCCACATCCCCTTTGAAGCTGTTGTTTTCTCGGATGATTAAATGCACACATTTAAGAACCATACGCTTCTTATCCTTTTATCTATACTAGCACAACTAGCTGCATTTATTTTTACCACTTTACACGTTAGTGGAGGCTGGTGGGAGGAGCTATAGGAGGACGGGCATTTTTAAATGGATGGAATGGAATCAGTGGAATGGTACCAAACATATCAAACACATGGTAACAACATGTTTGACTCCATTCCCTTGATTCCACTCCAGCCGTTACAATGAGCCCGCCCTCCTATAGCTCCTCCCACCAGCCTCCTCTGTTACACATGTGTTTTAGGATTGCACCTCTGTAAAGGTAATTTGCCTGATGACGTGCTAGAGAAGAAGGAGTGTCTCATTTCATACAAGCGAATTTGTTTCCACTTTTCCAGAAGAAATTACGCGAGGTATCAATAAAATCCCATTGAGATTCTCCCCAGGACTGCATTTTGTTCTCCTGCCTTATGCAGTCAGTTCTCCTGCATTCTCGTCCAGGGTTTGGCTTCCCATTGGAGAAAATTGAATCACATTTGGTCATAGGGGTGAAATAGATGTTCTTTTACACACATTGAGAAAGACACAGGGAGGGGTCTCGATTCGTCACGCTAACAATTTCAAACAGCTTTAGTTTAGGGTTTGGTTGTGCCAATTAGAATGACTCATTACTCCTCACATTTTATAATCAGCGACAAGTAGTAGTATGTTCCCAAACGTATTTTAATGATGTAATGACAATCACACAGATGACTAAGTCCCTGTCTGCGTAAAGCCAAGCCTGGAAGCTTATCTTAAGACATGCAGATGTCTCTCTGGTTTTAACAAACCACAGTGTCATCCCGCCAAACCATCTGCAGAGCTTAACTGAGCATTCAGATTTAATTAGCTAAATAACGAGTGTGGTAAAGTGTATCCATTCAGAGCATGAGTGGAAAACTTCTCAACTTAGAGGGCTGCAGCACTGGCACTGATAATGTCATTGATTGGCTACAGTCTACACCAGGGGTGGGAAACTCCAGTCCTGGAGGACAGCAGTGTGAACGCTTTTGACCTGGTCTAACAGGGTCAGTCCTATTCACCAGCTGCAGATGTCTGATATGCCTATGGGTAGACAGTTTAATATCTCAACTAGGGACAGACATTTTGTCTAGTTACAACCCTAGTTGTAGTCTATAACTAAGACCCAGATTCATTCCTGGTCAGGTCATGTGGTGAGAAAAACTCTGGCCCTACTCATGACACAGTTTTTAGTATAAAGTGGCATTGACCAATGGAACCTTTGACACAGTAGTGAAGACTGATGATAAGGTACAGTGATCAATCTCTCACACCAATTCATAATCTCCCCTCCTACACCAGTGTCACCTGGTGTTTTGTGTGCGTGTGTGTGTGTGTGTGTGTGTGTGCGTGCCACGGTTATTGAAGAACATAACGTGTGTGTGTGTGTGTGTGTGTGTGTGTGTGTGGGTGGGTGGGTGTAAGTGTTGTGTTTCCTCTGACATTGGCTTTGTTGACACTGAAACACACATCATTCAAATGGGAGGTTCAGTTTAGGGCTGTGACAGTCATGGAATTTTGGATGACGGTGGTTGGTCAGCCAAATGACCGTGTCTACCGTAACAACCTCTTGAATAGCCTAGGTTAAGACACACATTTTGTCCTCTCTTCCGCTCCTAACTGCATGTGCTGCCATAGAAATAGAATGAATAGAACGGGCGTCCTCGTTCAAGTCAATGATCGAATCAAATCAAATCAAATTGTATTTGTCACATGCGCCAAATACAACAGGTGTAGACCTTACCGTGAAATGCTTACTTACAAGCCCTTAACCAACAATGAGGTTCAAGAAATAGAGTTAAGAAAATATTTACTAAACAAAATAAAGTAAAATAAAAAGTACCACAATAAAATAACAATACTGAGGCTATATACAGGGGGTACCGGTACCGAGTCAATGTGCGGGGGTACAGGTTAGTCAAGGTAATTTGTACATGTAGGTAGGGGTATATGCATAGATAATAAACAGCCAGTAGCAGCAGTCTAAAAACAAAGGGGGGGTGTCAATGTAAATAGTCCGGGTGGCCATTTGATTAATTGTTCAGCAGTCTTATGGCTTGGGGGTAGAAGCTGTTAAGGAACCTTTTGGACCTAGACTTGGCGCTCCGGTACCGCTTGTCGTGCAGTAGCAGAGAAAACAGTCTATGACTTGGGTGACTGGAGTCTTTGACCATTTTTTGGGCCTTCCTCTGACACCGCCTAGTATATTGGTCCAGGATGACAGGAAGCTTGGCCCCAGTGATGTACTGGGCCGTACGCACTACCCTCTATAATGCATTATGGTTGGATGCCGAGCAGTTGCCATACCAGGCGGTGATGCAACCGGTCAGGATGCTCTCGATGGTGCAGCTGTATTATTTTTTGAGGATCTGGGGACCCATGACAAATCTTTTCAGTCTCCTGAGGGGGAAAGGTGTTGTCGTGCCATCCTCATGACTGTCTTGGTGTGTTTGGACCATGATAGTGTGTTGGTAATGTGGACACCAAGGAACTTGAAACTCTCGACCCGCTCCACTACAGCCCCATCGATCTGAATCGGGGCATGTTTGGCCCTCCTTTTCCTGTTATCCACAATCACCTCTTTTGTCTTGCTCACGTTGAGGGAGAGGTTGTTGTCCTGGCACCAAACTGCCAGGTCTCTGACCTCCTCCGTATAGGCTGTCTCATCGTTGTCGGTGATCAGGCCTACCACTGTTGGAGTCGTCCTTGGCCACGCAGTCGTGGTTGAACAGGGAGTACAGGAGGGGACTAAGCACGCACCCCTGAGGGGCCCCTGGGTTGAGGATCAGCATGGCAGATGTGTTGTTGCCTACTCTTACCACCTGGGGCTGGCCCGTCAGGAAGTCCGGGATCCAATTGCAGAGGGAGGTTTTAGTTCCAGGGTCCTTAGCTTAGTGATGAGCTTTGTGGGCACTATGGTGTTGAACGCAGAGCTGTAGACTATGAACAGCATTCTCACATAGGTGTTCCTTTTGTCCATGTGGGAAAGGGCAGTGTGGAGTGCGATTGAGACTGCGTCATCTGTGGATCTGTTGGGGCGGTATGCGAATTGGAGTGGGTCTAGGCAGGTTACCTTCTCTTTCTTGGGCACAGGGACTATGGTGGTCTGCTTGAAACATGTAAGTATTAGAGACTCGGTCAGGGAAAGGTTGAAAATGTCAGTGAAGACACTTGCCACATCGGCTACGGAGAGTGTGATCACACAGTTGTCCAGAACAGCTGGTGCTCTCATGCATGCTTCAGTGTTGCTTGCCTTGAAGCGAGCATAAAAGGCATTTAGCTCATCTGGTAGACTCCCGTCACTGGGCAGCTCGCGGCTGGGTTTCCCTTTGTAGTCCATAATAGTTTGCATGCCCTGCCACAGCTGACGAGCGTCAGAGCCGGTGTAGTAGGATTCAATCTCAGTCCTGTATTGACGCTTTGCCTGTTTGATGGTTCATCTGAGGGCATAGCGGGATTTCTTATAAGCGTCCGGATTAGTGTCCCACTCCTTGAAATGATATGTGATATGATTTAGATGCAGAAAGTAAACAGCATAGTGGGTAAATATTCGCAACAACTAAGAGCATTGAAGCGCAAGGCTCAACTTCTCAGCTGTTAACTTCTCAGCTGTTTAGGTGCCCTGGCTACCACGCTATAACAGTGTGAAGTGAACCTGTGCACATGCACAGATACTGTGTGTGACTGTGTGAGAGCGAAGTCTTGCATCTCCCTCATCTCAATTTCTCCGGTGCTGCTTCTGGCAATGTCATTTCGCTGAGTCTACCTTTAACATAATTTGAGTGAACATTCTACATTAGCATGGAATGTAGAATGTTTGCTACAACACCTTGCTTGTTTCAGCAAGGAGCAACAAAGTGTTATCACTTTGCGGACTCAACCGCACGAATGCCCGGCCGTCCCGTCTTAAGTCAGCTGTTCGTTCCACCATTTTTTGTTTTGTTATGACGGTTATTTTATTTTCATGACAGTCTTCAACTATTACCATTGGTTACACGGTTATATGGTAATGTGCCAGCCCTAGTTCAGTGTAGTTTCCTCAAAGGGAATATCAGGAGGGGAGAAATTAGAAATTAACTATAACTCCCCAGGCATTTTGTGTTGAAACCATTGTCACACAGATTGATTCATTGATTAGGATAAAACATTTTGTCTAGCATCTGCTAAACCTTCATGAAGCATTGCAGCATCTCTCTGTGAGTCACTTTGAATAAAGGCAGATAAAAAAAGTCTCACACAGCATAAAACTAGCTACGGTAGCTACAGTTATTAGACAGAATAAAGACCAAACTATTCCCAGTATCCAGATCTCTCTCCTGTTCTTTGTGCTTGTCCCCCCCAGATCCCTGCTATATCAGGCTCTAGTTCAGCACAATGCTATGCTTCATTCCTGCTCTGAGCAGTTTCGCAAGAATGCCCACGGCAACGCAATGAGCAGCATGTCATTCAAAGCCCAGAGGTGGCCCTCAGATAAAGTCACCGGTGCCACAGCTCCCTCTACGCCGGACGGCTCTGAATGGGTCCGGGCAGACAGGCTCAGGTTACCAGAGGCACTGTGTGACTTTTACCATATAAATGAAGCCAACGTTTTCTGGGGGGGGGGGGGGGGGGGGGGGGGGGGGATTGTCTGTTTATTGCATACGGTGGATTGTCTGTGTCGCCGGGGTCTGGTTGTCAGTCATGCCAGACAGAATTCATTAAATGAACTGACTCCATTAGAGCTAATGAGTTGTAGATCAGTGGTTGTGGGTGGGCCGTGCTATTCTGAACTAACAGACCATGTCGATTACTGGGTGTAATTCCTCTGCACAGTGACGGCGCAATTTTTTTTGTCATTGCATACATGTATATTCAATGTAAACTCGTTAAAAATCATAGTGCCTTCCACAGAGTCTTAAATAATATTTTGGTCATGGTACAAAGTAATTGGTCTCAAAGACTCTTGTAAGGTTATTACATTATAGTCATTTAGCAGACGCTCTTATCCAGGGCGACTTACAGTTAGTGAGTGCATACATTATTTAATTTTTTTTCATACCCCCCGTGGGAAACGAACCCACAACCCTGGCGTTGCAAACGCCATGCTCTACCAACTGAGCTACATCCCTTATGTAACTGAAAACAAGCAGAATGTATCAGGTTCTTTCATTTAGATTTCCATATTAGTTTGGAAAATGTGTCTTTCCCTGACAGAATGAAAAACATGGCCATTATATACAGTACAGTACAGTACACTTAGAAAAAAGGGTTCCAAAAGGGTTCTTCGGCTGTCCCCATAGGATAACCCTTTTTGGTTCCAGCTAGAACCCTTTTGGCTTCCATGTAGAACCCTCTGTGGAAAGGGTTCTACCTGGAACCAAAAAGGGTTCTTCAAAGGGTTCTCTTATGGGGACAGCCGAATAACCCTTTTAGGTTCTAGATAGCACCTGTTTTTCTAAGAGTGTAGGAGAGAAATCTGGCAAGGTTCAAGGCAATTGGCTGACAACCTACATGCTTTCGTTCTCCATTCTTCTTCTAGGCCCGCTGACTGTGACTATGCTGATGAATGTACAGCTCAAAACTGTATTCTGTAGATATTCTCTGAGTGTATATTACGAGCAGCTCTGCTAAGTTCTTTGCCTCTTCATCCATACATACATTTGTCTAGCTTCAGGAGAAAGACTGTCTGGCGTGGTGTGTTCTCAATGATTCTGTGGGGATGATTCTGTGGATGATTCTGTGGATGATACTGTGTGTTCTGTCTGGTTGATTTATAGTAGCAGTCAGACTGTGACAGTAACGAGGTGTTGTTGGAGAAGAGCTGTGTGGTGAGGAGCTAACTCTTTCTCTCTGCCCACATGGCTATCCACTGTCCTTACAATGCTGCCTCTACGAGAGGGTGTAGAGGGATTACACTGGAATGTATTGGAGATTCCTGGGGGAGCAATACTGAGCGAGGGTTTAGTGTTCTGTTCACGGATGGCTGTGCCAAAGTCATTGAGTTTAATACTCTAAGACCCTAATCTAGTTTTTAGTTTTCACATGGGAAACCACACATGGTAACACTAATACAGACAGTATATCACCTCAGCTGCATGTGAGGAATATGTGTTAATATGTCTCACTGTGGTTTGATGAAATATATTTATTGAGCACTGTTTTGTTCAAACCAGTGGGTTCCACACTGTACAATGAATCCCACAGGTCCTGTGCATCACATGTGTGTACCGGTATGTAACGATGTGAGTATATCACACTGGGCATCCCTCTCCCATGTCAGTGTGTTTAGAGTGGCTTGATGGGCTGCTTTACAAACCCTGTGCCTGACTCACCATGCGAGGGAAATATCGTGGCACCCTCCTCACGAGCCGGACGCGGAGTCACTCACATTCGGAGACTTGAAACCCACTCTTTAGGAATACCTGGAAGGCAAGTTTCTTCTAACCAACCCCCCCCCCCCCCAAATTGGTGCCATGGCTATAGAACCACCATTGTGATCTGTAAAGAGACGTAATGTGCCCTGAAGGCACTTAACCCAATGTCCGTAATGCTCTGGTAAGAGCTTCAAAGACTAAAATTAAAAATGTAAAATTACTTTCCACAGGTGCATGAACACTGAAGAGAAGCTGAAGATAAAAATATCACTTGAAGGACAGTTAGTAGCTTTAGAAATAATCTGTTATTGTTCAAGCCATTTGCTTTGGTTGCATGCCTTCATCGGGTTATTTGTGTCTTTCTCTCTCCCCATAGGCAGGTGCCAGGACCGAGCTGGGGGCCACAGAGAGCCAGACAGACAGTCCTGATGGCAGAAGCCTGGAAGGCAGTCTGCTCTGAACACGTGCTCTAGGAGCCAGGTGCCACACTTCACGGGGAAACACTGCACAGGTGAGCTGAACAATATTTGTTTTTAAATCTTGAATCCAATTCAAATTTGAATAACTTTCTTTTCATAAAGCTTTACATGAGAGAAGTTAAATGTTAAAATCAGTTAAGATCTCTGTGTGGGTCACGATCTCAAAAAGGGTCACCTGTTTAGAGAGTTTTCCCTGGTCAGGTCACTATAAAAACTCCTGGTGTAGTTAGAGTACAACACACTGTAATGATGCTTTCAATGCCACCACAAGAGTAAATATGTTTTTCTAGCTGCACAGTATGTATTGTGTAAAACATAGTGTCGACAACCACACAGCTGTTGTTGTATCTCTCAATCCCTGCATGGTACTGCCATCACACTGACCCCACACTGTGACAATAGTGTCACACATTATAATCCTCAAGCTACCTTTCTCTATGGATGAATAGGACAAAGTTCCTCACCTATTTTGAAACCACCTGCCTGTATGATGGAAGAAGCGGAATCCAAAGTCAGTATCTACAATTCTTAAACAGGATTTGATCCCTAATGTTGGTGTCTGTGTGTGTTTGATCCCTAATGTTGGTGTCTGTGTGTGTTTGATCCCTAATGTTGGTGTCTGTGTGTGTTTGATCCCTAATGTTGGTGTCTGTATGTGTTTGATCCCTAATGTTGGTGTCTGTATGTGTTCGATCCCTAATGTTGGTGTCTGTGTGTGTTCGATCCTGCCAGGTGTGTGTGTCCATGAGGTCATCCATGCTGGTCCTGCTCCTCATGGTCAGTGCCCAGGCAGTGGCCACCATGGGAGGGGACTTCTGCCCCCCGGTCTCCGCTCAGCGGCAAGGACCTGCCCCCAAAAGGACCCCTAACTCTGCCCCCACCGTGGATCCCAAACTGTTCACCAAGCGACGCTACCATTCGCCCCGCGTTCTCTTCAGCGCCCAGCCGCCCCACACAGAGCCCATGGGACGCCAGTGGTCCGGGGCCAGCAGGGGAAGGCGCAGGGTTGGCCAGCCGAAGCACCGGGGGGTGTACTCTGTGTGTGAGAGCGTCAGCGTCTGGGTAGGCAACAAGACCAAGGCCACGGATATATCTGACAACGAAGTGGAGGTGCTCCCGGACGTCAACATTAACAACGTGAAGAAGAAGCAGTACTTTTTTGAGACCATGTGCCGTGGCGCACGGGGGGGCAGCACTGGCTGCCTGGGCATCGATGGGCGACACTGGAACTCCTACTGCACCAACTCGCACACCTTTGTGCGGGCGCTGACTTCCTTCAAAAACCTGGTGGCCTGGAGACTGATCCGCATCAATGTGGCATGTGTCTGTGTGCTTAGCCGAAAGTCCTGGCGACAGTGACCGTGCTCTCACTGGTCATGTGGTCACTGCAGTACTGATGACAGGACCACTTGGTACTATCATGTGGTCACTCCAGTACTGCAGTCCCAACCACCCACCACCAACCCACTGGAGTGCTCTGAGACTCTGCCCCACCACAGCCCTCACCTAGCCCTCTGCACAGAGTAAATTATTGATTATGAGGACTGCAAGTATATAAACCAACTATTTGTTTATCAGTTGTTGTTGTTGTTTTGTTGTTGATATTGTTATTTATTAAACACCTCAGTACATGCACTGCATGTTGTTTGGCGTTATTGTCTGGGTGGTGGCTGTCACAGAGACCAATGAACAACAGGCAGACTCCTAGGAGACACTACTGTGTAATGTCAAAAGAAGTGGCTACACTTAGAGGTTTTTAAAACTGTATAAAAGTCTGCTCCATGAGAAGGTGGATGAATAGAAACATACGGCACCATTTTGAGGTCCTTTGGTCAGCATTTGGCTCATGCCTTCTCTGTAATTTATCTATATTACTTCAGAACAAATTCAGTTCTGTTTTTCCCAATAACGTCAATTTCAAGAAGGATGAACAAGCCATATCTAAAATAAAATGTCCCTGTGGATAACATTTATTTCCACGGGCTGGCTTTCCCAAAAGCCTCAGTCCGTTTGCATCATGGAGAGAAATAACATGGAGAGAATAGTTAAGGTCCTTGTTAGCTACGAAGCCTTTAGGAAATTTGTTCATCACCCTTGAAAGGTTTCGCGTAACCTCCGTAGCTAAAGTAGCACGTTCATTTCTCCCATATTTAGCTTATTTCACCCATGACTAAATACAAATACAATACTGACACTGACCAATGCTTTCTGGAAACGCACACCACACAGCGTCCATCAGACACTTTTAATGTGGTCCAGCAGTCCTGGCTAGGTGGTCTAAATCAAGGGATTGGAATCTCCTCCTGGCTGCGTGGAGCATTTCCACAGCCCAAACACCCAGCTGGACAGCCATTCATCCATCCACCTCCTGGCTATGACCACAGGACCTGGGCAGGTTGGGTGTAAACACTAAAAAAGGTCAGGTTAACCACAGAGCAATGAGGTCACATCTTTGGAGCGAGCTACAGTACTAGTCTTCAACCCTAAGCCTGAAAAGACCCACATGGTCTGACTTGTTGTAATGTATGTATTGTATATTATGAAAGTTTACACAGATAAATATGTATTTAATGTATGTGGCATATGTATTTAATGTATTATGTGTGGCATATGTATTTATTCAAAACTTACTAATGGAAAATAAAACTTGAATTTGTTGGGGGGTTTTCCAGCCCAGTGCTAACACACCTGGTTCAATGTGTCCAACTAATCATGAAGCCCATGATTACACTCTTAGAAAAAAAGGTGCTATCTAGAACCTAAAAGCATTCTTCAGCTGTCCCCATAGGAGAACCCTTTGAAGAACCCTTGTTGGTTCCAGGTAGAACACTTTTGGTTCCAAGTAGAACCATTTTGGTTTCATGTAGAACCCTTTCAAAGAGGGTTCTACATGGAACCCAAAATGGTTCTACATTGAACCAAAAAGGGTTTTACCTGGAACCAAAAAGGGTTCTTCAAAGGGTTCTCCTATGGGGACAGCCAAAGAACCCTTTTGGAACACTTTTTTGAATCAAGTTTAATTATTGTCTGGAACAAAAACATGCATACATGTGGGTTTCCTGGGACTAGGACTGAAGAACACTGATCTACAGTCTGAGAGTTTACAGAAGTCATAGTTAGACAGTATACTTTGATCCCAAAGCCAGAAATATAAGAGCAGACCAGCATTTTTGTCCCATTACCTGTACACAACTGTTTCTGAGTAGTTTTCAGAGCCCTTGTTCTGTTAATTCCAGAGGAAGTAGAGGTGATGTGTTTGTTTACATAACCTAAGTGGCATGCTGGTGAAGAATGCAGACAAAGTATAGACCAAGGACGTATTGGCTAGTAATATGTATCTGAAACTACTATTTTTGACCCATAGTTCTACAACCAATGCTGTCTCGATTGCAACTCCCAGTTTCCCACATCTATTATTAACACTGTATTTGGACGAATAGCATGCCTACTGCGCTTAATTTCAAATACACACACACATGCATTTTTATTTCACTGTGATATTTGAAAGGCTGACCTTTTAAGGGATGTTTTAAAGTTGAAGAAGAGCCAAACCCTGAAACAAGGTTTGCCAACATTGAATAGTGGAAAGTAAACCACATGTCCACACTCCCCTCTGGTGTTCTTTAAGATGATCTACAATCTCCCTACAGTTCAATGACTGCACTACACTGACCATCGCCCATCCCATTCATACTGTCATAGACCGCTGGTACGATTCTGGTCATGGAAAAAGGACAGGTAAAGACAAACACAAACTCCTCTCAGAGTAGTAATTTTAAACCAACAATCTCTATGCATGATTTCTCCTGTAGCTCAGTTGGTAGAGCATGGCGCTTGCAACGCCAGGGTTGTGGGTTTGTTTCCCACGGCCAGTATGAAAATGTATGCACTCACTAACTGTAAGTCGCTCTGGATAAGAGCGTCTGCTAAATGTCTAACATTTCTTTACCAGCTAGTTACATTTAATAACCAGGAACTATTCCTAGTTGAAAAACAACAAACATTTAGTTTCAAAAATATTTGTCAAACAGGGATTTGACCATTATGTAATGACCCAATATAAATGCTTCAGTTATTTGTCATGTCCTTCACCAGAGAGAAATACAATGTTTAAGTTTTTTGATCCACAGGCTAGTTGGAGAAAGCAGCCATTCTGACACAGAGCCAGAAGGGGACACTGTTTACCTCCTTTCAACCAACACACAGTCAAAACAAAGTGAGCAGAGATACTGTAGCTTTGACCTTCACTGCCACAACTGCTTGACCTCCTTCATACCCCATGGACAAGAGACCCAAAGAATACAAGTTTAGAGTTCCTCTCCTAGTCTTACAATGAAAAGAAAACAAAAGATAACTTAACTGTAAAACTATATATATATATATATATATATATATATATATATATATATATATATATATATATATATATATATATATATATCATTTGGCTGAATTAAACAATGATATGGCAGTTTTGATCACGCGGACTGGGATATTTTGCGGGTTGCCTCTGAGAATAACATTGACTCGGTGACTGAGTTCATTAGGACATGCATAGGGGATGTTGTTCCTACTGTGACGATGACAACCTATCCAAACCAATAACCGTGGATAGATGCAGTGGCGATTTTAGAATGTAAATCTTGGTAGATGCATGCCAGCAAAGCCACTATACAACACAACACAACACTAAACAATACATGAATTGCACTATAACGGGTACAAACGGTGCCCACAAACTGTTAGGGCCTACCTAAAGCTGTCCCAACAGCAGAGCTTTCTTTTCAGCACCATGGAGTGAATCCTTACCACCGCTACACCTGGCTATCAGCGGAGCCTTGTCTGGCAGCGAAACAGTTCATTCAGCCTCATTTACTGCCTTTTTTTAAAAACATAGCTGATATGGCTGACTTGCTTAAACAAATGTGGTTTCTACTGACAATTGAGATGTACAAACTATGGCATAAGGGAACGACGAGCGGATAAGAGGCAATCCGTAATTTCAATTAAGACATTAATGAGCGAGCTAGGACAGACGTAGTCAATATAACTATTTGTTCAGCACTTTTGAAATGTACAGCAACAGAATTCAGAACGTGGGCCGTTCTTACAGTACTCTCCCTGTACACCAAGTCAGAACCGTAGGATAAATAAAGGGGGCATATAAGCAGACAATGAAAGCTCTTACAATATTCAATGATTACATTTCTCTAAAACTGGCTATAGGCTACATGTGCACCACCAAGTCAGAACAGTAGGCTAAGTTATGAGGGGAAAAGGGACCAAATTATTAGGGTGAGGCACATGGGCTACTAACAGCTTACTACACAACATACACTTAGTATTACTTTCTTAGCTACAGTATACATATCTCCCTGGCATATTACATCATTATGCAGCAGCATACAATACATTTTTGGACTCACCTTGATGTTCTGTGCTCACATGAACAGGAAGGTGGCGCGGCGATCCTTCTTGTGGGCAAATTTTGTCATCAAACTTTGTCATCAAAGTCTGGCATTCTCTGGATTGGATTTATGGTGCTTTCAAGACAACTGGGAACTCTGAAAAAAACAAGGTCGAATCATGACGTCAGTGATCTTCAGGTCGGAACTCTAGAAAGAGGCCCGAGTTCCCGACTTGGAATTCCGAGTTGAATGACTGTTAAAAATGTATTTTCCCAGTCGTAGCTCGTTTTTTTCAGAATTCCCAGTTGTCTTGAACTCACTGTGAAGTCTGAGATTTCCCAGTTCCAAGTTTTCAGTTGTTTTGAACGTGGCAGAGGTCATGCTGGATTCAACCTTTTCTGGCCCATGGTGTTGTATATGAATGTTTATCCTTTTAAGCTTGGAAAAGAGACCCTTAAACACACACTTCGACCACACACCCACTCCACTGAGTAGCAGGATAGTGATTGCTTTGAACGCTTGCAGTTAGCCAGGGATTCCTTCCAAACCACTCATTGTTGAATTTGCGATTTCCAACTTGTTGTGTAATGTCCAATGGCCGATGAGCACCGATACGTTTTATCTATAATTTATCTTCATATGACAAGGATTGAAAAGGATTTGCCAGTAGATTGTCGACTTGATTCATGATGATGACTCCTTGTCTAGCTTGCTAGCTAAGATTTTGAAAGTATGACGTTGACATGATCAGTCCAATCAAAGCTACGGTAGATATAACGTGATTTGACGTTATTTTATCTGTAGCCAATGACCTTGAGCCTTCTTGGATGGGCACTTCTAATGTAAATCTATGGCAGCACCCAAGGAGCTTGATTTTTCGAGCTCTCCCCGTAGACTTTTAGGTGACGTAGTGTCCCCCTGAGTGACAGAACACTGAGCCAATCACGGCGCAACTAGAGAACATTACCAATACCTACGTTCCGTATTTTCCACTGGCTGCCACACCACCACAGAAAGCACTGACCTAGGCGGAAACACCTGCATTTTGGAGCTGCCTTACTCAAGAAAGCAAAACATATATATATTTTTTTACATTGTTTGCAAACTGATATGTGACCGGTATTAATGCCAAAATAATATACAAAACAGGCCATTTTTTTTTTTTTTTATAGCTCAACAGGTGGGGCTCAAAACTGGTGGGGCTCTGAATGACGGGTCGCCACTGGATAGATGGCAGCATTAGACGTAAACACGGCAAGGTGACTGTGAACATGGACGAGTACAAACAGTCCAGTTATGCCCTCCGTAAGGCAATCAAACAGGCAAAAGGTCAGTAAAGAGACAAAGTGGAATCGCAATTCAATGGCTCAGACACGAGACGTATGTGACAGGGACTCCAGACAATAATTGATTATAAAGGGAAAACCAGCCACATCACGGGCATGACGTCTTGCTCCCTCTGGACAAGAGGAATACCTATGTAAGAATGCTGTTAATTGACTACAGCTCAGCCTTCAACATCATAGTACCCTCCAAGCTCATCATTAAGCTCGGGCCCTGGGTCTGAACCCCGCACTGTGCAACTGGGTACTGGACTTCCTGACGGGCCGCCCCCCGGTGGTGAAGGTGGGAAACAACACCTCCACTACGCTGATCCTCAACACAGGGGCCCCACAAGGGTGCGTGCTCAGCCCCCTCCTGTACTCCATGTTCACCCGTGACTACGTGGCCATGCACATCTCCAACTCAAACATCAAGTTTACAGACGACATAACAATGGTAGGCCTGATTACCAACAATGATGAGACAGCCTACAGGGAGGAGGTGAGGGCCCTGGCAGAATGGTGCCAGGAAAATAACCTCTCCCTCAACGTCAACAAATCAAAGGAGCTGATCGTGGACTTCAGGAGACAGTAGCGGGAGCACGCCTCCATCCACATCGACGGGGCCGCAGTGGAGAAGGTGAAAAGCAGTTTGGGGAAAAGTACCCAATTGTCATACTTGAGTAAAAGTAAAGAGAAAGCTTAATAGAAAATAACTCAAGTAAAAGTGAAAGTCACCCAGTAAAATACTACTTGAGTAAAAATCTAAAAGTATTTGGTTTTAAATATACTTAAGTATCGAAAGTAAATGTAATTGCTCAAATATACTTAAGTATCAAAAGTAAAAGTACAATTATAAATCATTTCAAATTCCTTATATTAAGCAAACCAGACGGCACCATTTTCTTGTTAATTTTTTTATTTACAGATAGACATCGGCACACTCCAACACTCAGACATCATTTACAAACTAAGCATGTGTGTTTAGTGACTCTGCCAGATCAGAGGCAGTAGGGACGACCAGGGATGTTCACTTGATACGTGTGTGAATTGGACCATTTTCCTGTCCTGCTAAGCATTCAAAATATAACGAGGACTTTTGGGTGTCAGGGAAAATGTAAGGAATAAAAAGAACATTATTTTCTTTAGAAATGTAGTGAAGTTAAAGTAAAAGTTGTCAAAAATATAAATAGTAAAGTAAAGTACAGATACCCAAAAAATCGACTTAAGTAGTACACCACTGGTGAAAAGCTTCAAGTTCCTTGACGTACACATCACTGACAATCTGAAATGGTCCATCCACACAGACAGCTGTGTGAAGAAGGCGCAACAGTGCCTCTTAAACCTCAGGAGGCTAAATAAATGTGTCTTGGCCCCTAAGACCCTCACAAACTTCTACAGATGCACCATTGAGAACATCCTGTAGTGCTGTATCACCGCCTGGTACAGCAACTCTTTTATTTATTTTTTTCACCTTTATTTAACCAGGTAAGCCAGTTGAGAACAAGTTCTCATTTACAACTGCGACCTGGCCCAGAGAAAGCAAAGCAGTGCAATAAAAACAACAACACAGAGTTACATATGGGGTAAACAGTGGTCCTCTGTAGCTCAGCTGGTAGAGCATGGCGCTTGTAATGCCAGGGTAGTGGGTTCGATCCTCGGGACCACCCATACACCAAAAAAAATTATGCACGCATGCCTGTAAGTCGCTTTGGATTTTAGCGTCTGCTAAATGGCATATTTTTATATTATAAACAAAACATGAAGTCAAAAATACAACAGAAAATATATATACAGTGTGTGCGAATGTAGTAAATTATGGAGGTAAGGCAATAAATAGGCCATAGTGCAAAATAGTTACAATTTCGTATTAACACTGGAATGATAGATGTGCAAAAGATGATGTGCAAATAGAGATACTGGGGTGCAAATTAGAAAAATAAATAACAATATGGGGATGAGGTAGTTGGATGGGCTAATTACAGATGGGCTGTGTACAGGTGCAGTGATCGGTAAGCTGCTCTGACAACTGACGCCTAAAGTTAGTGAGGGAGATAAGAGTCTCCAGCTTCAGAGATTTTTGCAGTTCGTTCCAGTCATTGGCAGCAGAAAACTGGAAGGAATGGTGGCCAAAGGAGGTGTTGGCTTTGGGGATGACCAGTGAGATATACCTGCTGGAGCGCAGACTACGGGTGGGTATTGCTATGGTGACCAGTGAGCTAAGATAAGACAAGGATTTGCCTAGCAGTGATTTATAGATGACCTGGAGCCAGTGGGTTTGGCGACGAATATGTAGTGAGGGCCTGCCAACAAGAGCGTACAGGTCACAATGGTGGGTAGTATACAGGGCTTTGGTGACAAAACGGATGGCACTGTGATAGACTACATCCAATTTGCTGAGTAGAGTGTTGGAGGCTATTTTGTAAATGACATCGCCGAAGTCAAGGATCAGTAGGATAGTCCGTTTTACGAGGTCATGTTTGGCAGCATGAGTGAAGGAGGCTTTGTTGCGAAATAGGAAGCCGATTCTAGATCTAACTTTTGATTGGAGTTGCTTAATGTGAGTCTGGAAGGAGAGTTTACAGTCTAACCAGACACCTAGGTATTTGTAGTTGTCCACATACTCTAGGTCAGACCCGCCGAGAGTAGTGATTCTAGTCGGGTGGGCGGGTGCAAGCAGCGTTCGGTTGAAGAGCATGCATTTAGTTTTACTAGTGTTTAAGAGCAGTTGGAGGCTACGGAAGGAGTGTTGTATGGCGTTGAAGCTCGTTTGGAGGTTTGTTAACACAGTGTCCAATGAAGGGCCAGATGTATACAAAATGGTGTCGTCCGCATAGAGGTTGATCCGAGCATCACCAGCAGCAAGAGCAACATCATTGATATACACAGAGAATAGAGTCAGCCCGAGAATTGAACCCTGTGGCACCCCCATAGAGACTGCCAGAGGTCCAGACAACAGGCCCTCCGATTTGACACATTGAACTCTATCTGAGAAGTAGTTGGTGAACCAGGCGAGGCAGTCATTTGAGAGACCAAGGCTATTTAGTCTGCCAATTAGAATGCGGTGGTTGACAGAGTCGAAAGCCTTGGCCAAGTCGATGAAGACGGCTGCGCAGTACTGTCTTTTATCGATCGCGGTTATAATAACTGCACCGTCCGCAACCGCAGGGCTCTGCAGAGGGTGGTGTGGTTTGCCCAACTTATCATTTGGGGTACACTGCCTGTCCTCCAGGACATTTACGGCACCTGGTGTCACAGGAAGGCCAAGAAGATCATCAAGGACCTCAGCCACCCGAGCCATGGCCTGTTCACCCCATTACCATCTACAAGGCGGGGTCAGTGCAGGTGCATCAAAGCTGGGACCAAGAGACTGAAAAACAGCTTCTATCTGAAGGCCATCAGACTGTTAAATAGTCACCACTAGTCAGCCTCTGCCCAGTACCCTGGCCTGAACTTTAGTCACTGTCACTAACCGGCTACCACCCGGTCCTCAACCCTGCACCTTAGAGACTGCTGCCCTATGTACATAGAGTCATTGAACACTGGTCTCTTTAATAATGTTTACATACTGTTTTACCCACTTCATATGTACATACTGTATTCTAGTCATAGTCTAGTCATAGTCTTATTCTGTCATAAGGTGAATGCACCAATTTGTAAGTCGCTCTGGATAAGAGCGTCTGCTAAATGACGTAAATGTAAATGTAAATGTAAATGTAGTCAAGGCCTATCCTATATAACTATTACTGTACATATACTATTCTACCCCACATATTCTACAGATATACTACATATTCTATCCATATCCTGTCCATAACGTCTATATATATATATATATATATATATATATATATATATATATATATATATATATATATATATATATATTCCAGACTCTGACATTACTCGTCCTAATATTTCTATATTTCTTAATTCCATTATTTTACTTTTTATATTTACGTGTATTGTTTTGTATTGTTTTGTATTGTTAGATATTACTGCACTGTTGGAGCTAGGAACATAAGCATTTCGCTACACCCACAAGTAACATCTGCTAAATATGTGTATGCGATGCGACCAATAAAATGTGGTTTGATTTAGATTTTCACCCAGTATCTCTGAATCATATGCTAGCACATTGTATTATTTTACAATCATATATTTGGTGGAAATTCAATACCACCAATATTTCTTATGTATCAAAACTTGTTCAACAAACTATTTTGTCAATAGTGACTGATGAACAAAATGTCTTCGCATTTTTGCCATCTGATTAATCTGTACCACTCATAAACCAATGACGGAAATGGGCGGTCCTACAACGAGTGTAAAGCTTCTCCAATGTTGTCATTTTGAGATTGCAGCGCGGTTTGTAGACTATTGTTGATGTCAAAGACCAGTCATTTCCAACCCACATGTAGAACAAAGTCTCACTGTCTTATTGTCATAATTTTATTGGTCGTATTAGAGACGGATTCATAGAATCATGAGTAAAGTGCAAGGTGGGATGAAATGCGTGAAATATCTCCTTTTAGTTTTCAACTTCATATTCTGGGTAAGTGTTGATCCTACTACCGATCCATTAATATACATTTATTCAATCATAAACATCGTTGCATGTGTGCAGAATTGATCGTGATTTATAGTGACTCTTCATACATTGCAGATGCTTTTTGCAGCAAGTGCATCTCTCACGCTGCTGTAGCCGATTCATTTCTATTCTTCTCCCGGTCCGGAGGGAAAGTTAATTTCTTCTATTGTTGTCGGATTTTTATCAACGTAACTCATTTTCACGGAAGCATGTTGTTACCAAATATAATCGTATTCTCTTATTTGATGGCTGAGATAGAACATTCTTACCAAACCACGCACGCACACACACGTTATATTACATGACTTCAAGGACATGTTCTCATGATAACTCATTTAACCACGACTCGCCTCCCTCCAGATACAGATGGTATGATTTTAGTTTGATCACTCTTTTGTTGAGAATTTGCGTATGAGCTTCATGATTTACGTACATTTACTGAAAACCCGCACTAACACTTGGTTATATTAACAGTATTGCACTTTTGAAGTAGACTATTTTTGTCTCATTTATAGCCTTACCACTGACCAAGCAACTGGACTAATGAACTAAATGTTCAAATCCTGTTGCAGCAGGATTATTACATCTGTATTTGAGATTCTGAGGTCACAGTCCTTAACTGGACTGACTGAACTTCATGTTTATTGTCAACACAAAGTGTGAATTAACCTCCACATAATATGTTATTTAAATATTAATGTAATGGTTTATGCAATTGTACAATTTCAACAGCTATTACAGCAGTATGCATAGTTTGCAGTAGACACTGTTGTGATTTACACTGTATGAAGTTTCTCTAATTTCAACAGTAAAACACTGTAGAATGCACAATACATACTACACATGTGTTTTAGAGAATTCATTATGGTGCATTGTGGGAAAGTATTGTGGGCGGGGAACGAGTCTCTGCAGATTAACATATTTTAGGGCTTGCTTTGTAAGAGGCTGTATTTGATACACTGGTGAGTGAGAATGCTGTACATCCACAGGATACAGTAATATACTGTATTTAACGAATTCTACAAACCTTGTCCTGAAAATTTACATTAACTGCTGGCAGTAATTTACTGTAATTCAGAATACAGTACTGTACTGCATTTTTTGGAAACCTTTTGGACACTAGTGAGTAGTGATGGGAAACAAAGCTTCCTGAAACATTGAGTTTTTCCAGCCAATTGTGTCGAAAATAGGTTCATTACTCTGAGCTTCATTATCCGTTCGCAATGCACACTGTTACATCTGCTGGTCAGCAATAAATAGCAACGTGTGATTATCAGATAGCGGGGGTTTTTTCTCCACTGATTTCATCAAAACTCCGTGGCACAGCAGTAAGTCATTGGCTTTAATAGCCTACAATCAGTTGGATTGCATCTTACATCCTCCCTTTTTTGCCTTCAAGTTTACTATTTTTCAAAACTCAATCTATGGCATTATTTAGGATGCTTTAGACAAGCTTATTCTAAATAAAATGAATTATTTGAACAAGAGCGCAGAATGTGTGGTTTCACATAAAAGTATTTTCAAACTAGTGTGCTTTAAACAGGATTCAACCTCATACCCTCATGTCCCCTACTCTACCTTCTAAGCTACCAGTCAGGTGAATTACATGTACAAAATCCTAGCTATATGTATAAGTACGTTATGCAGTTAAGGTTGGTGTTTGAAAGCAGCTTAATCGAACAAAGCACTGGAACCAAGGTGAAATCAGTGGGATCTCGCATTTTGCAACACATGGTTTGAAAAAGCACGTGATCAAACGAAGCTGATGATGTACTTCTGATAAAGTCATACACACATTGGCGCACTGCTTCGAAGTTACGCCTCGATCACACCAACAGCGTCATTGCGTTTTGGTACACCAGAAGTACATTAATTTCCAATGGAACACTGTGTGCCTTGCAGCATTGCGTTGCAGAGGCAGTTGCAGTGTGTTCTGTGTGGTGCATACGTTGGATTTATCGAACATGCATCAAATTATATGTGTAGACAGCTTGACAGAAATAGTAGCAGAAGGTGAATATTGAACTTTTGTTGCACACATATCCAGATGATGCTGCGTACCATTTAGAGCAATGACGCTGTAGGTGTATTCAAGGCGGTTAGCAATTTCGACGCATACATCAGAGCTCCAGTATCAAACATAACATCACTAATAGTGAGTGCATGGTATTGATGTTTCTGACTCATTAACATATTTTGAGGTGTGTCTTGTAAGAGGCTATATTTGTTGCACCCGTTAGTAAGAATGTTGTACGAATTTAACTGATATGTGGTAGTGGTTCTCCAACAGTTACATGTACAGTGGGGAGAACAAGTATTTGATACACTGCCGATTTTGCAGGTTTTCCTACTTACGAAGCATGTAGAAGTCTGTAATTTTTATCATAGGTACACTTCAACTGTGAAAGATGGAATCTAAAACAAAAATCCATAAAATCATATTGTATGATTTTTAAGTAATTAATTTGCATTTTATTGCATGACATAAGTATTTGATACATCAGAAAAGCAGAACTTAATATTTGGTACAGAAACCTTTGTTTGCAATTACAGAGATCATACGTTTCCTGTAGGTCTTGACCAGGTTTGTACACACTGTAGCAGGGATTTTGGCCCACTCCTCCATACAGACCTTCTTCAGATCCTTCAGGTTTTGGGGATGTCGCTGGGCAATACGGACTTTCAGCTCCCTCCAAAGATGTTCTATTGGGTTCAGGTCTGGAGACTGGCTAGGCCACTCCAGGACCTTGAGATGCTTCTTACGGAGCCACTCCTTAGTTGCCCTGGCTGTGTGTTTCGGGTCATTGTCATGCTGGAAGACTCAACCACGACCCATCTTCAATGCCCTTACTGAGGGAAGGAGGTTGTTGGCCAAGATCTCGCGATACATGGCCCCATCCATCCTCCCCTCAATACGGTGCAATCGTCCTGTCCCCTTTGCAGAAAAGCATCCCCAAATAATGATGTTTCCACCTCCATGCTTCACGGTTGGGATGGTGTTCTTGGGGTTGTACTCATCCTTCTTCTTCCTCCAAACACGGCGAGTGGAGTTTAGACCAAAAAGCTATATTTTTGTCTCATCAGACCACATTACCTTCTCCCATTCCTCCTCTGGATCATCCAGATGATCATTGGCAAACTTCAGATGGGCCTGGACATGCGCTGGCTTGAGCAGGGGCGCTGCATGATTTTAATCCATGACGGCGTAGTGTGTTACTAATGGTTTTCTTTGAGACTGTGGTCCCAGCTCTTTTCAGGTCATTGACCAGGTCCTGCTGTGTAGTTCTGGGCTGATCCCTCACCTTCCTCATAATCATTGATGCCCCACCAGGTGAGATGTTGCATGGAGCCCCAGACCGAGGGTGATTGACCGTCATCTTGAACTTCTTCCATTTTCTAATTATTGCGCCAACAGTTGTTGCCTTCTCACCAAGCTGCTTGCCTATTGTCCTGTAGCCCATCCCAGCCTTGTGCAGGTCTACAATTTTATCCCTGATGTCCTTACACAGCTCTCTGGTCTTGGCCATTGTGGAGAGGTTGGAGTCTGTTTGATTGAGTGTGTGGACAGGTGTCTTTTATACAGGTAACGAGTTCAAACAGGTGCAGTTAATACAGGTAATGAGTGGAGAACAGGATGGCTTCATAAAGAAAAACTAACAGGTCTGTGAGAGCCGGAATTCTTACTGGTTGGTAGGTGATCAAATACTTATGTCATGCAATAAAATGCAAATTAATTACTTAAAAATCATACAATGTGATTTTCTGGATTTTTGTTTTAGATTCCATCCCTCACAGTTGAAGTGTACCTATGATAAAAATTACAGACCTCTACATGCTTTGTAAGTAGGAAAACCTGCAAAATCGGCAGTGTATCAAATACTTGTTCTCCCCACTGTATATAGGGGACAGATCAGAGTGGCAGCTGGTCTTAAACATTTAATGGTTGAATATTTAACCATTTCCCTTTGATCTGTTTTACCCTGTAATCACAACCAGTTTGGAAGCCTTTGTTTAGGCCTCAAAAATTGTAAGTGATTTAAAACGCATAGTATTCATTAATATGCTGTACTATACAAATGCCTAGCAGCCAACCTGCTTGCTCCAGTCCCTTGTAAAATACTGTGAAAAAAGTACTTTCTTACAGTTTATTAGTCACTTTTACAGTATTGTAGTGTGTTTCATTACTTTGACATTATAGTAACTTACAGGAAGGAAGCTGGCATCAAGTTCCCGTCAATATCTCAGTAATGTATTGGCACAATCCAGAGATCATAAGATATATTGTTGTAATTATAATTATTTTGAAGACCAGTGTATCCTTAACTACAACAACATTTTCATAAACGGTTACAGAAACATTTAACTTGCTATGACTATGATCGGCCTATGTGTTTTTTTATCAACCTTGGTTGAATGCACCAACTGTAAGTTGCTAAGGGACAAGAGCGCCCGCTAAGTGACCAAAATGTAAAAATTATAACTTGTAAAGAACACTGGGTAATATGTCACTGGGTTATAACAGTAATATGCTGTAATTGTAATTTATACTGTAAATTAGATTACAGTAAATTACTTGGTACTGTAAATTATATTACAGTACACATTTTGGCCAATCGCTGCCAGGAAGTTACTGTACATTTTACAGGAAATATTTTACAGTGTATACATATAGCATAAGCCTACTGACCGTCTTGCAGAACTACAGTTTGATGCTACATTCCGAACATAATGTAGCTATGATGGCCCACCATATTTCCTATCCCCCTCCCTCGTACAAGTTGGCACTGTGATGTGACTTTCTTTTTGCAAGTCTGGGAAGAGTGGTGTCACTTTGTCAGACAGCAGCCCTTTTGTGCCCTGTTAAGAGACAAAAAGCAGGGGCGTTATGAGACGAGCCAAAAAGGGCGGGTCGTAGTGGACAGGAGAAATGTACAGCGTCAGTTTGGGGTACAGTTCCAATGGGGGGGGGGGGTAGTGTATGGTTCTAGTAAGCTAACATATGAAATGGTTTTAAGATGGTCATACCAAGTATCAGTTAGCTATTTGATTTGGAATTGTAGGACCCCTTTAGGTATTTAAAAAATATATTTGCATTTTACAGACGCTCTTATCCAGAGCGACTTAAAGTTTGTGAGTGCATAATTTTTTTTTTTCATACTGGCCCCCCGTGGGAATCGAACCCACAACCCTGGCGTTGCAAACGCCATGCTCTACCAACTGAGCTACACGGGACCATGTAATTGTTTTATTGATGAAACATTGAATTTGGCCTTACTGCTATTAGTCCATAGAAATGCATTGAATACCAGATTCATACATGGATAAACAGATGGGCAAAAAATAAATTAAAAGAACGTTAGTTTTAAAGTGTCTGTCCTATATCTGAGAGATCAGGACATTTATATATATTTTTTACCCATATTTAACTCCTTTTCTTTGGCACTAAACTATTTCCTTATACGTATACTTCCATACATTATTCTACCTGGTACCGGGCTACCTTCAGACGAGGCTTGTGGGCGTCCAAGAGCAAAACATAGAGGGGCTATATTAGTGTGTAGCCCAAACTGTTTGGATACTACAGACAAAAGTTGGCAGATCGGCGGTACCGACTTCAGACAAGTCCCGTGCCGCTTGTGAGAGTCATGGAGAAAAACGAAGAACACCCTCGTAAGAGTCTCATCTTTCCTCCTGTAGCTCAGTTGGTAGAGCATGGTGCTTGCAACGCCAGGGTTGTGGGTTTGTTTCCCACGGGGGACCAGTATGAAAAATGTATGCACTAACTGTAAGTCGCTCTGGATAAGAGCGTCTGCTAAATGACTAAAATGTAATGTAAATGCTACAGACAGATTTTAGGGATGTCTCATGGTCTGACAAACACCACTGTAGCCAATGTTAGTTGTGAAGTCAATTATTTTTATACTGAATGTTCATGAAAACAGCCTGTTTGACGGTCATTGTTGTTTTCAGAGTAAAACATTTTATTGAAGAGTATCTGCCCAAGAGTATCTGCCCAGGCCTTTACAAAAGGCCAGATGGTACATGTGACAGAGTCACATGGAGTCATGGGTGACACCACCTTGTGTTACTGGGTTTCAATCAATGGGTTATTCTATTTAAGCTCTCAAGGGGACCAATGCTGTGCCATGTCCTGATCTCAAGGTCAGGTCAAGACTAGACAATGTTCATAGACACTAGTCGGTCTGTACAGTATCTCACATCTATAGTATGCAACATGACGCTTTAAAAAAGGTCAAGGTTTATGATGACAAAATACACATTTGTGTAAACTATACAATATTGTGCAAAATGTGTTAATTGATTGCTAATGTGTTACATTGTTATTCAGTGAATATTCCCGGTATGTTGAGGATTGATGTATTTCCACTAAATGTTATGCAGTAAATATTGCAATGTAGCTGGCTATGATAACACTATAAGTTCCTTTTGGTTGGTGATTTTCTGCTCCTCAGCTGTGTGGCTCGTTGGTGTTGGCAGTGGGATTATGGCTGAGGTTTGACCCAAAGACAGTCCAGCTCCTGAATGGAGAGGGAGCCCCCGAGACCTTCTTTATAGGTGAGTCCAGTCCACAGTCAGACCAGGACCCCAGACCAGCTGAACACCCTCCCCACTGGTTCTATTGGAATTATTGTACTGTTACCAGCATCATGGTCAGTATAGCACAACGTAGCCATAGCAAAATGCTACGTTTCAAAATTGTTTTGCACATATCCTTGTACTGAACATGGCCTAGCTACCTACAACGTTTACTTAGGTAGGAATACGTTTGAAGTACAGTATTTAATGGGTGGGTATCTTTGTGTTTGTTGGAACATTTCCCATCAATCTAACCTGTTCTTGTTTCTTTCCCATAGGAACATATACGCTATGACAGGAACCTTTTTGACAGGAACCATTTTTTTATGGATTATTCTAATATTAGTGAGTTACACTAAAACGCCTGCGGGTCATCCCCTTGTAGGACATAATAATAGGTTTATTTCTGCAACAACAAACGCATATTTCCCACAAAAGCTAATTGAAGAGAAAGTGCATGGAGGGGCATTTTCCTGAGCATCCGGTTAAATGCAAACTACACTTTAAATAACATCATATTCACACAATGCCCCATGTCATGTCACAATCTATATTAGCCATTGTATATGTATTCCAAGACTCTGTCTTGTGTTTCAAGTGACCTCAACGTTCAGTATTAATTATCGGTGTTCCATATAATATCCTCTCTCTCAATTGGTCTCCTACATGGACATGAGTAGAATGCGGCCTGATCTTGTTACTCCCATTTAGAGCGTGATTAAAATGGTGACTCACTTTACCAACTCTACCATGCCTTCACCCAGTTGGCTGCTGCCCTCAGGGTGCTGTAGCTCATTCGGTGGGCTCTGAGGCGACTGTCTCCTAGCGACCACCCCTCCCATTAGCCAGAGAGTCATGATATCATCATAAATTGCATCATTCATTGCACATTGTGATATCGACATCTGATGGCAGCTTTTCTATTAAATCCTAGTTAAATGCAGTAAAAGAAGAGCTGGGTACATGCCCAAGCTTTTTGGGTTTGTGTGTCATCACTGATGGGATGATGTATGCAATGTAGCTGGCTATGATAACACTATAAGTTCCTTTTGGCTTTCAATGCAAATGCCATACCAGCTCTTGCCTGGGCATCCAAACCATGTGGTACAAAGAGAGCTACTACCAACATAGTGACTTTTGAGTTTGGTAATGTCCAGGCAATGTATAACAATCACCTGTCCTAAACAGATGTGCTATATAAAACAAGGATTGGGAATCGTGTAACATATATATTTTGACCCCTAGACTTTTCTGCAGAAAAGCAAGCAGTATGCAGATAGTGAGTGTGATGACCAACACACAGCAAAAAGCAAAGCCCATTAAGCATCAGATGAAAGCTTTGATTAGTAATGAAATGGTAGCAATAGAGCAGCAGCAACATAAATCATAAACCAAACTCAAAATTGTATCCAATAAGGCTTTCTGTATTGGTTGTAACAAACAATACATGCATAACCTTGTATTCTGATCCATTTCAGTTCACATTTAATGTGGAGACGTTACACATGTTTGGGCAAAAACATAGCACTAAGATTGATCATGTTTTGTCATAGTCCATGGGAGCCTTGGATACAAGATAAATATTATATTGGCAGCATAAGAACAATATGAGAGGGAAAGGTTACCTTATTGCAGTTGTACTGAGGAGACAAGACTAATTAGACAGGGATACCATAGAGGGGCAAGGAGGCAGCATTCCCTATTGATGATTCACTTTCCATTATGTCACCTCTGTGTCTGTGTAAGCTGAGACAAGGCTATGGGGAGCAGTGTACTTACTGAATGAGTCGATTTGCACACTAAACGCTCAAATATTTGCATTGCCCATTAATAACCTCCACCAATGTTGGTGCAGCACAGAAATGCAAATGCTTAGATATTGCACACACTGAAAAGGAGCTGTACATGTGTTTGGATGGAAGGGCTCTTTTATCAACGTCGCCCGCTTTTGTTTGTGTAAAGCAAGGTGCCTGTCTTGTCTCATGATGTTTTCCATCGCTAAGCAGGTGATCAGCTTTGAGCTTAGCCAATCCTCTCGTTTCCAGTTTCCTCCCCCAGCCAGAGAGCAGCCACAGCAGACCGCTTCACTTCACCTCCTGTCTATTGTTCTTAAACAACAAAAACAACCTCCCATGTGGTTTAATTAGGCCGCCTGTGTCGTTGATTAAGCCAAACACTGAGCATGGGGACTTCCCTGGTGTACCATTACTCTACCGAATCATCATCTAAGTGTCGCACTGTTTCATTGTCTCAGGGAAGGGCTGGTAGTGAGGGCTGGGCCGAGGGGGGCATGCGGGAACATCACAGGGGAGATGAGATGACACCATCCCAGCCACAGTGCTGTGGTGACTGTGACACCAGTCTCAGAGCAGATGCTACCCCAGCAGAGTCTTTGTTAGGCCTGACCTGTGATGATGGTCTCTCCTCTGCTCCTTCTGTTGAGAGTGGTATTGTTGCTCAGGCAGGGGTGGAGCACCTAATGAGGACATCCACAGGCCTCTGTAATCTGTCTCATCAACACAACGCTCATATATTCAGAGACATATACTGCTGCAAATTCAGCAAAGTGGAGCATTGGATTACCTTAGCAACACTTTGCTATTCAGGGTATGTAAAATATATTCAAATCAACCGAGAGTAACTTTGAATAATGTGCAATGAGCACTTTGAAGTGGGAAAGTACCTTGTTTTAACGATGAGACTTTTCACCACTTTTAGGATTTTCCCTCTGTGACTCATTTTAGCCTACAGTTCAGAAAGTCAGCATGAAGATAGTGTTACATACTGGATACTTCTACACTTTACTTTGTAGTTAGATTGTGTTTCTGCATGGTAGTATCCATGTGCAACACTCTTGCCTAATGCTGCCAACCTCTGTTGATTCAATGCTCTCTCGCTCTCTCTTTCTCTCTGTTTATCTGTATGTGTCTCTGTCTGTCTGTCTGTCTGTCTGTCTGTCTGTCTGTCTGTCTGTCTGTCTGTATCTCTCTATGTACTCCTCAGCTGTGTACATCCTGATTGGTGCAGGCGGGGTCATGTTGCTGGTGGGATTCTTTGGTTGCTGTGGAGCTGTGAAGGAGTCACAGTGTCTTCTTGCATTGGTGGGTAATTGCTAGGAGTTTTACCTTAGGTGCCTAGCCTCAGGTTGTGTCTATAACCTAAGGTCATTCATGTAATGTACATATTAGATCATAACCTGTTCCACCTGTTGTGTCATCAGTTGTCAGAGCAGCTTACCGATCACTGCACCTGTACACAGCCTTTCTGAAATTAGCCCACCCAACTACCTCATCCCCATATTGTTATTTATTTTGCTCATTTGCACCCCAGTATCTCTATTTGCACATCATCTTTTGCACATCTATCATTCCAGTGTTAATACGAAATTGTAACTATTTTGCACTATGGCCTATTTATTGCCTTACCTCCATAACTTACTACATTCGCACACACTGTATATATATTTTCTGTTGTATTTTTTACTTTATGTTTTGTTTACCCCATATGTAACTCTGTGTTGTTGTTTTTATCGCACTGCTTTGCTTTATCTTGGCCAGGTCGCAGTTGTAAATGAGAACTTGTTCTCAACTGGCTTACCTGGTTAAATAAAGGTGAAATGAAATAAAATAAAAATAAAAAAATCATCATGATTTGTAATTACAGTTGAAGTCGGAAGTTTACATACACTTAGGTTGGAGTCATTTACAAATTTCTTCTTACCAAACTATCGTTTTGGCAAGTCGGTTAGGACATCTACTTTGTGCATGACACAAGTAATTTTTCCAACAATTGTTTACAGACAGATTATTTCACTTAGAATTCACTGTATCACAATTCCAGTTGACTGTGCCTTTAAACAGCTTTGAAAATTCCAGAAAATGATGTCATGGTTTTAGAATCTTCTGATAGGCTAATTGACATCATTTGAGTCAAATGGAGGTGTACCTGTGGATGTATTTCAAGGCCTACCTTCAAACGCAGTGCCTCTTTGCTTGACATCATGGGAAAATAAAAGAAATCAGCCAAGACCTCAGAAAAAAAATTGTTAAACCTTTGGGAGCAATATCCAAACGCCTGAAGGTACCACGCTCATCTGTACAAACAATAGTACGCAAGAATAAACACCATGGGACCACAGAGCCGTCATACCGCTCAGGAAGGAGACACGTTCTGTCTCCTAGAGATTAACGTACATTGGTGCGAAAAGTGCAAATCAATCCCAGAACAACATCAAAGGACCTTTGTGAAGATGCTGGAGGAAACAGGTACAAAAGTATCTATATCCACAGTAAAACAAGTCCTATATCGACGTAACCTGAAAGGCCACTCAGCAAGGAAGAAGCCACTGCTCCAAAACCGCCATAACAAAGAGAGAAATGTCCTCTGGTCTGATGAAACAAAAATAGAACTGTTTGGCCATAATGACCATCGTTATGTTTGGAGGAAAAAGGGGGTGCTTGCAAGCCGAAGAACACCATCCCAAACGTGAAGCACGGGGGTGGCAGCATCATGCTGTGGGGGTGCTTTGCTGCAGGAGGGTCTGGTGCACTTCACAAAATAGATGGCATCATGAGGAAGGAAAATTATGTGGATATATTGAAGCAACATCTCAAGACATCAGTCAGTAAGTTTAAGCCTGGTCGCAAATGGGTCTTCCAAATGGACAATGACCCCAAGCATACTTCCAAAGTCGTGGCAAAATGGCTTAAGGACAACAAAGTCAAGGTATTGGAGTGGCCATCACAAAGCCCTGACCTCAATCCTATAGAACGTTTGTGGGCAGAACTGAAAAAGCGTGTGCGAGCAAGGAGGCCTACAAACCTGACTCAGTTACACCAGCTCTGTCAGGAGGAATGGGCCAAAATTCACCCAACTTATTGTGGGAAGCTTGTGGAAGGCTACCCAAAACGTTTGACCCAAGTTAAACAATTTAAAGGCAATGCTACCAAATACTAATTGAGTGTATGTAAACTTCTGACCCACTGGGAATGTGATGAAAGAAATAAAAGCTGAAATAAATCACTCTCTCTACTATTATTCTGACATTTCACATTCTTCAAATAAAGTGGTGATCCTAATTTTTACTAGGATTAAATGTCAGGAATTGTGAAAAACTGAGTTTAAATGTATTTGGCTAAGGTGTATGTAAACTTCCGACTTCAACTGAACATAGTATGCATTTTGAAGTTCACTGTTAAGTGAAAAAAGAACTATATCCCAGGGTTAGGTTTTCAGAAGACTGAGCTGGATTTTCCTCTTTACCTGGGCTTTGCTCCGTTCATATTTATTTTAACCCTGACACTCCCCAGTTCCTGCCGATAACATGATGCTGCCACAACAATACTTTCATTTTGATTTCACTTTGAAAATGTGGAGTCGGTTGTGTAGAACGGTTGAAATAAATATCATATTACATGTCTTTGTAGATTACATTTTAAGGCTACAAAATGTGAAGATTATGCAAGGGGTGTGTAGACTTTCACTAGCGACTGTATAAGAATACTGAAGGCCCTGAGTTCTTACTGACCCAGGGACATCTCCTGGCCATATGTACAGGATACTGTATGCTAGGCTATGAATTAAGATACCACTGCCCTCTCTGTTTTGCAGTTCTTTGCCTGCCTTCTTGTCATCTTTGGTGCAGAAGTTGCTGCAGGTGTGTTTGGATTCATGAGCAAAGACAAGGTATATCCACTTCAATCAGTGTTCCGATATTTAATTAAACGTGAATTAAAGACAACCACTTATTTATACTGCAATCTCGATCTCTGACTGATTTGAATGACTGTTTAATCCTTAATCTATGTTTTAGATCATCAACGATGTTCAACAGTTCTATAGTGAATCTATTTCAGATAATTCTGAAAATTCCAACAGCACTGCTGTAGCTGAAATTTACCACACTGTTGTGAGTTAAACTACATTTTTATTTATGCTCTCATATGTACATGATCATGTCACACTGTCAATGTTGTCCATTTCTATGTTTTGATATACAATATTTATTTTTGAAATCCTTTGTTTTTTTTGCCGTAGCTGAATTGCTGTGGTGTCTCCATGCCTTTGTGTCCTGATGCTGATGAAGACACAAAGGTACAACTCTTCTTTGTGCTCTCCTGGTGCAGTATCATACCATAGAGAATGATAGAGGCCTCTAGTGGCCAAAAGGCCTTATTAGTATGGGCAGCGCCATTGAGGGCTTCCACCATTTTAATTTAGTCAACTGGGTGGGACTTCCAACTTCATTGGCTATCCCTCCTGGTTGCCCTGTTGGAGTCATGTCCAACCGGGTCATCAGGAGGTATCAGCCAATCGTGAAGAAGAAAATTGACTACATCAAAATGGAGGTTGCCTCTGGTGCTGCCGGGTCATTCATACTATGCGATGGCTTTTGGACCTCATGACTTTAGGGGACTTTAAAAATATATATAATTCTATCAGAAAAGGGACATGTTTGACTTTCAGAAAAATATATTGGTCAAGCTCAGGCACTTATTCTTTCTTTTGGTGCATTTTCCAACCTGTTAGGTGCATAATCCTAACGGTGGAAATTTGGAACATAAATTAGCGATAGCTCTGTGAGTGAACAAGATTGAGCTAGCATAATGGCGAACACTTCTCTGTCAAACATACAGTATTTTGAAATTTGGTACATTTTCTCTATAATTTAGCCTAACAGGGTGGAAATGTATGAGTGGGACCTACAGACTAACAACATGGAACAATAAATACAACAGAGAGTTTATATTTATTTAGCTTTTCACCATTGTTTTCCCACCAAATAAATGATGATGCTTCCTGAATGTGGTGTCATTGTAGAAAGGGGTTGTTTTCTTAAATTGAGAATTTCAACAAATTAACAGGGTAAACGTGATATCAGGAACACACAGAAAATCTTAAATAAAATAATAAATACAGTAATCATGAAAAAACTTTATTAATAAGAGATAATTTAACTAAAATAATGATGGCTTATATTTCTCGTGGAAGTTGATGAATAACACCCGGGGACATGGCAAAAACGCCTACATCCACTGAAAACAAAGTGTTCAAAATGCATAAAATGCCCTTTCAAGATCCATATTTTGGTGTATTTAAAGTAAAGGACACCTGCTTATATTTCAAGCCTTTTGGAATCCACATTTTACACTAAACAAGAAGGGATATTTCCTGGGGACAGAAAAGGCACCGCATGGTAGGAATGGCCCTACCCATGCTGTCACACGCTATAATGGCAGATACAAAGATGAGTCCTCTATCTCTATGTTGAAAAGCAACATTGTTTTACCATAGGCCTACTGCTTGTCCCCTACTGAGTGCCATTACTGTAGGCCTACTGTTGTGTTTATTTCACATTACAAAAGAAAAATCTAGTTTTATAAGCTAGTTATAGTACAGTAGTGCCTTTAGCTGTGCTTAGAGCATAGGGTTAATATACTTTGTAAGAAATAGTGAATAAATGTATTGTAAGTGACATCCTATATGCTATGTGTTTCTAGGACTGTCTGAATGCAATAATGGGCTTTTTCAATGAAAAGCTCTACATTATCGGATATGTGGGGATTGGTGTAGCAGGAGTAATGGTAAGGATCTTACTGACACTCTGGCACAAATTACATTGTTACATATGGTAACTCATATGATTATTTACAATATGTTACACATGACTGCATAAAACTGTATTACAAGCTTATAGCCTACTAATATAGATGTTTTTGTTCTCTCCTCAGGTCATTGGTATGATCTTCAGTATGGTCCTCTGCTGTGCAATTCGAAACAACAGGGAGGTGATCTAGAAAGATCCAGTAGCTCATCCCTTCCCACCGTGCAGGCCCAACACAGACTCACCAGTCCCTTGTCCCATCCTCATTCAGGCATTGTGATTACATCACATCTGGGCTGGAGGAAAGGGGAGCCTTTAAAAAAAAACAGAAACCTACAAGTCCATGGGGTCAATTTGGTGGTGTGGGTGTGATATCACACACCCAGAATATCACCAGGATTTCCCCATCCTCTAGACAGAGGCCTGCACTGTGTGGAGCCAGTGGGACCAGACAATCTCTCTTTCCTCTGGCATCTCTGTAAACTAAATATCTGGTCCCTCTCTGCGCTCCTCCTCTCCAAGCACAACATGGCTCAGGATTTGGAAGTACTCTGAGACATTCCCCATTTTCCGCATCCTCTTCTAACACTGCTAGCATTCCATGTACTTGTAACGTCTTCCTTTTTGACGAAACAATGTGATGGCAGAGGAGCATTGCTGTAAATACAAACTCCTTTTTTTGTGCTGTTTTTAAACTTTATTTATTCAATGTCTTTTGGTAACTTCAGCTTAAAAGGGCAATCAGCAGTTGAAACAATAACAAAGTGTGTTCCCCACCCGTTTCGGTAAAAAGCTGAGGCATGGGGCTGAATAAATGTAACCACTCAAATTCATATGGAACTATGGATGCAAGGACTGACCATCCATTATATAAAATTATAGTTTTAACCATGTTGTGAGGCCATATAGTGTTTGTTTACAAACATTGGAGTAAAACTAGCATATATTTGGGGTTCTGGTAGGGTACAACAGTTGAACTAAGTTAATGAGGCATTAATAAGTTATATTCTTCAAGAAACAATGGGTACATATAAGTCCAAAAATGGATGTAGCATTTGCAGATTGCCCATTTAAGGGTTCATTGTGTGTACAGAGCTACTGTAGTCACCCATCTGCTTGTTAAAGTTGTATGCAATTTAGGTCAGTAACCTTAACTCCAGTCTTGAGAGTTTTACATAACTGTTGTTGGGACTTGCAGCATACATTTCATTCCTCACTAAATGCCTAAATGTTGCATCTTTGTACAGACAAGCCCAAGCGACCTATCCTCACTGCAGCTGCATATTTTACTTTAACAACCTGTATGGTTTTTGCCCTCACTTACCCCCATTAGGAAAGTAGTGCTCTGCTAGAAGTACCCCCTGCAACTTTGAGCTGGGAGTGTGGGCCTACAATCCAAAAAGAGCCTGTTTCAATTTGACAGACATTCTGAATAACTATTGTCATTCATGTTCTGGGTCAGGGAAGCGGCTACATTTATGAATTACTGTCATTCTGTAAATGTCTAACCTTCTGAACTCTGGATGATAAATGCCTTTTGCATTGTCCTGAGTGATCTATATTAGAGCATGCAACGTGTGAACCTTTACAGTGTGTTAGTGTATATTGTGTGTGAATTCTTGTGGGCATTAAGATTTTGTGCGCACACAGTAGGCTACGTTGTAGATCCATTTTATGCTAGAAATGTCAAAGAAACCAATGAATGCTTTTATCAGCATGTCCATTTTGTAGCTGTTTAATTGCCTGTAAAGTAAAACACTAATGGGAACAAGTTATGTTTCTATTATTTTAAGATGTTTGGGATCTCCCTAGAGAAAGCTAAAATACATTAAGAGACTATTCAACCCAGTTAAGAGCAGACAGCTGTTAAATGTTTATTTGATAAACATATACCAAAACAAAACTAGAAATACGCCATACAAAGCAAACTAACAGTCATTTCCTGTGTTAGATGACCTGGGAGCAGATAGTATCAGTGATGCCATTTGGCGGGCTCAGTCAGTCCAGATAAAGTATTGCTTCCTTACAGTGTGAGAAATACCAATCCACTCAAAGCAAATTCAAAACCATTTGCATGAAATTTAGGGGCATGTCATTAATTAAAAGAAACTAAATAATGACCGTAAACTAATCTAAATCTTGACCTATATCCTTGAAGTAACATGGACAATAACAGTACACTCCACAGCTCTACTGTATATACTACATTATATGAATGAATCTCAAGTATTTAGAATATAAAACAATACAAAAAGCTTAACAATGCTGATAATTCATGAGTTGTTGCTGTGGAATAGCAATTAAGTGCTTGGTCCATCGATCTCAAACTAAACCTCAGTGAAATGGTGCCAGTAAAAAATGTTTCTTTAAAAATGTTAAAAAGCTACTTCTAGAGTATTTCTAGAGATCTTAGGCCTCCTCAGTCGATCACAGTGAATTTATCAATTCACACATGTAAAATCGGATGAATTGAAGGCTTGAAGTTACATGATTGACGCTTTGAAATACCCACACAAAATCTCTTTACTCCATACTATTGCATTCAACCAACAGCACAAAAGCGGAATCTTAAATTATCCCCCCAAGGGTTTTTCAGACCAACAATGAATGAATAAAAAAAATTAAAAAGGCATGAAAATGCCTTCAGTCGTTGGTTGTGTTGAAGTGGTCCCCACCTCCCTCACAAAGAGGAACCAGAAGGACTCCCCAGCCAGAGCCACTGCTGCAGTTCTCGGTCCCCAGTTCAGCAAACTGGCACTTTCAAGTGCAAACGTTGGTCACAGCCCATTAAATAAGCCAGGAAAACATTTGGAGGAAGTGCAGTACAGCCGTTAGACCATACAGGAAGTCAAGAACTACAGAATGCTTTTTTCAGTTTTTTCCAGGCTCCAAAGCTCTGACACCTCAGTCTTACTTGGGTTTATTTTCTGTAATATATACTGATGGTGTATAGCTGCCAGTCTTTTTCTGAGATACTTCTTCATCTGACGTGCGAGAGTCCAATGCACAGCCTGGCAGGATTGCTAATCTCATGCAGACAGGTAGTTAGTTGAAAGGTGACAGGTCCAGGATGAACTCTCCGATGCCAATAAAGTACATGACCTGTGCGATGCCGAAGAGAGGAGCGATGACCAGCGCCCTGCAGCCTGCTCCCTTCAGGAAGGCAGAGGGACCCTCCTTACGCATGATCTTACTGCCAGGAGACAGGAAATAAATCAACACTGCTTGAATTGCAGGAATGTGTGTAAATCATTTGTTATACACCTCACTGGTTGTGAAGTTGCAAAAAGATCAAAGGCAGGAAAATACAAGTGATAAAAGACTGACTCTGTACCTGACACAGTCAACCACACCGTTGTAGCTCTCCTCACTGGCGCCTTTGTTTAGAGATTGCAATCTCGTTTTCACAACTGAAATAAAGAGCGGGAACTTGTTATAACAGGAACTACAGCAGTAAACCAAATACACATCCACTAGCTTAAAGAGCGGGTCACAAACAGAGAGATTCCAGACTCACCATCACAAGGATTGACTGCCACAGCTGCGGTAGAGCCAGCCAGACAGCCAGAGAAGAAAGCCCAGTAGAAGGGTGCTGATTCATCTCGAGAGGGCTGTCCCAGCCGGTTGAGGTGGGCGAATAGTGGGAAGTAGACCATGGAGAAGGGAACATCTCTGAAACACAAAACAAGTATTTTATAATGCCCGAGAAACCGGTGTTTGGAGGATATATTGGCACGGTGTTAGGCCCGAGACTGGCTGGCAACGTTCTTATCCCTTGCTTGCTAGCTAGCCAACTACGGCTAACTTAGTCACGTCAAACAGTGCAGCAAAGTAGCTGCATTTGTTTAAGCTGTTTTCTAGTGACATTTGGATACATTAATAAGAATGAGCTAATGATGCACGATTTCACCTGGCATAGAAACTGTGTGCTCTCGTCAGGACAATGATGTTCAGAGGAGCTAGCCAACAACACAGCTAACACAATCACTTCAAACTTAAGCTGGAAAGACTGCAAACTAGGTGCATTTTGTTTAGTTTTGCCTGTTTTCTATTGACATTCCTTTGTATATGTCCATAAAAATGATGATTCTTGTCGGTCTTGTCCTAACTCCCAACCCCTCACGTTCTTTACTATGGGACAGCTGGAGATCCAATTTCAATATTGAAACAATGTTGCTAATGTCAGAGAGACAGTTTTATACAAATCTCTGCTATTAAAAAACAATTGCTAGTCTAAAAGAAATGGGAGATAATGTCTAGATGTTTTTTCCGTGGAGATTAAGTTCATAAATTGTCTGGCTGGGCTGATGAGACAGTGGATTGCGCAGTCTGATGGAACAGAGTAAATAGGCATTTCAACGTTGTAGCTGTAGACGGTGTTAACTTGTGGAATAGACACTGGCCGGAATGCAGTTTTAACCAATCGGCGTCCAGGATTAGACCAACCCATACGTACGTATACACACACACACACATACAGTGAGGGAAAAAAGTATTTGATCCCCTGCTGATTTTGTACGTTTGCCCACTGACAAAGAAATGATCAGTCTATAATTGTAATGGTAGGTTTATTTGAACAGTGAGAGAGAGAATAACAACAACAAAATCCAGAAAAACGCATGTCAAGAATGTTATAAATTGATTTGCATTTTAATGAGGGATTAAGTTAACTGTTTGGCCATAATGACCATCGTTATGTTTGGAGGAAAAAGGGGGACGCTTGCAAGCCGAAGAACACCATCCCAACCGTGAAGCACGGGGGTGGCAGAATCATGCTGTGGGGGTGCTTTGCTGCACGAGGGTCTGGTGCACTTCACAAAATAGATGGCATCATGAGGAAGGAAAATTATGTGGATATATTGAAGCAACATCTCAAGACATCAGTCAGGAAGTTAAAGCTTGGTCGCAAATGGGTCTTCCAAATTGACAATGACCCCAAGCAATGCTACCAAATAATTAAAGGCAATGCTACCAAATACTAATTGAGTGTAACTTCTGACCCACTGGGAATGTGATGAAAGAAATAAAAGCTGAAATTAATAATTATCTCTACTATTATTCTGACATTGATCCTAACTGACCTAAGACAGGGAATTTTTACTAGGATTAAAATGTCAGGAGTTGAGTTTAAATGTATTTGGCTAAGGTGTATGTAAACTTCAGACTTCAACTGTATACACACACACATCTATATATATAAACTCAGCAAAAAAAGAAATGTCCTCTCACTGTCAACTGCGTTTATTTTCAGCAAACTTAACATGTAAATATTTGTATGAACATAAGATTTAACAACTGAGAAACTGAACAAGTTTCACAGACATGTGACTAACAGAAATTGAATTAAATGTCCCTGAACAAAGAGGGGGGGGGGGGGGGGGGTCAAAATCAAAAGTGACAGTCAGTATCTGGTGTGGCCACCAGCTGCATTAAGTACTGCAGTGCATCTCCTCCTCATGGACTGCACCAGATTTGCCAGTTCATGCTGTGAGATGTTACCCCACTCTTCCACCAAGGCACCTGCAAGTTCCTGGACATTTCTGGGGGGAAATGGCCCTAGCCCTCACCCTCCGATCAAACAGGTCCCAGACGTACTCAATGGGATTGAGATCCGGGCACTTCGCTGGCCATGGCAGAACACTGACATTCCTGTCTTGCAGGAAATCACACACAGAACGAGCAGTATAGCTGGTGGCATTGTCATGCTGGAGGGTCATGTCAGGATGAGCCTGCAGGAAGGGTACCACATGAGGGAGGAGGATGTCTTCCCTGTAATGCACAGCGTTGAGATTGCCTGAAATGACAACAAGCTCAGTCCGATGATGATGTGAAACACCGCCCCAGACCATGATGGACCCTCCACATCCAAATCGATCCCACTCCAGAGTATAGGCCTCAGTGTAACGCTCATTCATTTGACGATAAACGCGAATCCGACCATCACCTCTGGTGATACAAAACTGCGACTCGTCAGTGAAGAGCACTTTTTGCCAGTCCTGTCTGGTCCAGCGACGGTGGGTTTGTGCCTATAGGCGACGTTGTTGCTGGTGATGTCTGGTGAGGACCTGCCTTACAACAGGCCTACAAGCCCTCAGTCCAGCCTCTCTCAGCCTATTGCGGACAGTCAGCACTGATGGAGGGATTGTGCGTTCCTGGTGTAACTCGGGCAGTTGTTGTTGCCATCCTGTACCTACTCCCGCAGGTGTGATGTTCGGATGTACCGATCCTGTGCAGGTGTTACACATGGTCTGCCACTGCGAGGACGATCAGCTGTCCGTCCTGTCTCCCTGTAGCGCTGTCTTAGGTCTCTCACATTACGGACATTGCAATTTATTTCCCTGGCTACAACTGCAGTCCTCATGCCTCCCTGCAGCATGCCTAAGGCACGTTCATGCAGTTTGTGACCTTAATTGCCTACCGTCTGTAAGCTGTTAGTGTCTTAACGACCGTTCCACAGGTGCATGTTCATTAATTGTTTATGGTTTATTATTTATTGAACAAGCATGGGAAACAGTGTTTAAACCCTTTACAATGAAGATCTGTGAAGTTATTTGGACTTTTACGAATTATATTTGAAAGACAGGGTCCTGAAAACGGAATGTTTCTTTTTTGCTGAGCTATATATATATATATATATATATATATATATATATATATATATATATATATATATACAACACACACACACACACACACACACACACCTCTTTGTTTTCTAGCCCAGCACCTCATTAAAAATTACTTCAGGCCTTTGACTCATATGAATAAGTCATATGAGTCACATTCATGTGTAACAAGCTCTTACCTCATGAGGGTGGCCCAGAGGCCTTTGTAGAGGCCCTGGATGCCTTGCGTGTGCAGAACCTCCCGGGCGATCTGGGTAGCAGACACCGCCCTGGCTTCAGTGCTGGGCCCCGCGTTGTAGGACCTGCTCAGCACCGTGGTGGTGGCAGCCAGCTTAGCGGGAGATATCGTGGCTGGCTTTCTCTGCTGAGCTGCTGGGAGGAAGAAAAACAAAAAGACATGAATATATTTGCACAAACTTCCATCAATCAAATCAGGATAATACTGTGACCTTGTTTACCTAGCCTTCCTGCGTCCTGAAGTTGAATCTTGAGCATTTCCATAGGAGTAGTAATGACAACCTGGCACATGCCTGCACCACATCCTGCCAACATCTCCTTAAACACTGTCAAGCCCTTCCTGCAACAAAGAATCAGAGATTAGAAAGCAAGCGTGGGACATGTCTCGTCAATGACTAGTTGGACACGTTGTTATACATCTATTCCACTAAATCAGCCTTTCCTCTTAATCTACTGTCTTCAATGGCTGAAATGTAAACGGTCACTTACTCATTTTTGCTAAGATGCTGCCGGAAGAAGTCATTTGCGGCTAGTTTGATGGCCTTCTCTGGAGTGACCAAGGTCAGATTCACAGCAGCACCTGAAGATAAACCAATTGACCATTAGTCAAACCTTAAAAATCATCACAAGCAAGTCAACATAATGAGTTCCATTCAAACATTAGAAACATGATGAGAACCAAGTAGAACATGAATGAGAGAAGAGACCAGAGAACACTAGAGAAGGGCATGCAGAGAGGATGGGAAATTAAAAAGACAAAGTGAGAAAGTTAGGCTAGTCTAATGTAAGAAAGACCAACATTTCTTTAGAAAAGAAGACATTAGATTAAGGTGTAGACTAGAATGGATAGACGAGAATGAAGGTAGCCTTAGCCACTACTACAACATACATTTTCACAAGAACACTGAATGTCAATGGTCACAAGTGTTGGTGAAAGAACAGAGAAAGTAAAAGGAGTCGACAGGAAAGGTGAGATTAAGTTGTATGAAGACATGAAGGAACAAAATATTTCACAAATAGGACATTTAAAAAAAACATTGTTTGCCTAGTTGAAATAGAGCAGTGTAGTAAGAACCATTAAATGATTTGCCTCCAGCGTGGCTGCGCCATATCGGCTAGCCTCTCAATATCCCAGGGGGATCCACGTCTGTAATATGAAAAACACAGATGCAAAAAAACAAGCTTTCCTCACACAAATGGAGCCCCATAAAATGGCCTCCAACCTCCTCCCCACAATAGACACTATATGTTGCCCATCATAAATGTGTTTCACACAATATTCAGTTTCAGTAAGGCTATATATAGTAATGCATTTCACTGAACACTGCATCAATCATGTGATCAATTGAAAATATGTCAATTTCCTTTTATAAGAATTGATGGAGAATATTCTACCATTTGTCATTCATTCAATTAAAAAACAAATGAGCATGAATTAACAACCAATTTGCATAATGAAGGATGCATATAAACATCACATCAGTACATTGTCACCACAACCTATCAATTTTTACGATCACATGTGAATATAGTTTTTTCTATCAGTAATGAGCAACTACTGCATTAATTGTGTTTGAACAGCAACTTGACAGCTTATACTTTAAGTCAATAAATAATTCAATCCTGATCAGTTTGTTGCAATTTCACTAATAACCCCCTGTTGACTAGGTATATAACCACTACGACTAAAAATGAAATGACTCTTACCTCTATACATGCCAAAGTATCCTTCTGATCTAACGGTTTTGACAAGGCAGTCCATCCTAAGAGAGAAAAGACATGTCCAAATGAGGGAAACTTATCACAACTAATTACTACGAATTAATTCATGAACACAGTTTAAAAGCGACATCATCCAACAAAGCATATGTAAATACAAGTACCATTACTACCCCCTGTAGGTAAAACAGAACTAAGGAGCATCAAGGGGCTTAAGGCTTTGAGTGGAGATGCCAGCTGAATGGGTGCACAGAGCAGAGGGAAATTTGATCTCTCCTTGCACATTCCTCAGGATTACTCAACGGGGAAGAATAGGACAATGGCGGGAGTCAGTTGTTACAGACACGGGACTCAAAACCTGGCATTAGTCTTTCACAAAGGCAACCGGATTCTTTGAAGTACTGACCAAGACAGCCCATCCTATATATTAGTGCAGACCTGCTAACCTTGAAGAATTTACCACTTGAGCACCTTTTAAGCCTAATAATGATGTTGGCAAAAAGACTGCCTGAATAGAAATGGTAGGCTATAGCCTTATGGGTATTTGGTAATTGCCTGCTATTCAGTAGCCAAATATAAATATGTTTAAATGTTCAATCAGGGCTCTCCCTAGGATTTTCCGACAAGGTGGCGCTGATTTAGGCCTAAGGTCAGGAAGGAAGTTGGAGCTTTTTGAATGGTTTGAAAAACCTCTAACTGCCATTTCCTGAAACCTAGAGTCTTAAACTATATCAAACATTGTATCCAACACAAGTCTTGTGTATGATCCTAAATAAAAAATGGTAGTAGTCTCAATGACAATCATTCTTCTAGGTTAAATTTAGGGGTAGTGATTATTCTAAATAATTAGGCGTCTTCATGTGGATAGTCTAGTAAAAATGTAAACTGGATTCTTCATTTTGTTTGGGGGACAAAATTCGGAATAATTCAATTAATGGATGCAATATAGTAGTCTAGCTTGATGTAGGCTATTTGGAATATGAAACAACTGAACTAGGCCTATGTGAGCTTGTTTCAGATCTCCATCCCTGACCTCATCCATCAAGTTAGGTCTGACTACTAGGCTACCATTCATTCAACATGCCTCGTTGTCAGTGGTGGTGAACGGACTATTATCACATCATTAGCAGCCTACTGTTGACATACAGCAATATCAAGAGGACAGATCAAGTACTGATTAATTAACATAGGCATACTAATCTTTTAACAGTCTAAACATGTTCTGTGAAGGACAGCATTAGCGGAACAGCTCTCTCTGCCATGTCTGTTTCCATCCACGCAGTAACACGCCCCTGAGCTACCACAACACCGCACATGTTTCCTTGCTCATCAATGCCCTCACACCTACTACCGTTGCGGAGATCAAAGCATGTGCGGGCAAGAAAGTAGTCTCACTTAATTGACTAAACGATGTAGCTAACTACCTTCATCGTAATGACGCCTTAGCTAAGGAGCCAACTACAAAATAATAGTGGTTATGTGCTTGACTAACACCAACTTTTACATTTTAATAATTTAGCAGATGCTCTTATACAGAGCGACGTACAGGAGGTACAGTTAGGGTTAAGTGTCTTGCTCAAGTGCACAGATTGATTTTTCACCTAGTTGGCTTGGGGATTCGAACCAGCAACCCTTTGGTTACTAGCCCAACGCTCTTAACTGATAGGCTACCTGCCGCCATCTGTTAGAGTCATTTCTTATGAGTATTAAAATTATTATTGTCTAATAAACTAATCAAGATTTAGCTATGCAGTCACACGGCATGACATGAAAAGGGAGGACAGAGTGAAGGACTCACATGTTTTTGTAGATCTGTTGACCTTGCCTCTGGTTCTGTAGCCTGGTCTTTACCAGGTCGATGGGGAACACACAGGTAACCCCCACAATGCCAGCAATACCACCATTAATCAGTTTAGCGGGAAGGCTGGAAAAAGCAACCAGTTTGAGATTATGTTCAAATTGGCATATCACACAACTTCAATGCACTTGAAATAGATAAAATGTAATGAATGCATGCCCTTATGAAAACTGTACTGATGCTTAATTTTCTTGGGTTACTAACACTGAACAAAAACAAAACTACTATCTAGATATTGCACACACAGTATGAGATAGAGAAACCCACAGTGACAGTACCTGATCTGCTGCTTGGCCATGGTATATTTCAGATAGGTAGCAGATGTAGAACGGAGCTGTGAGATCTTAGCTAGTCGTAAGTAGATCGTAGTGGTCTGTAGATCAGGAATTCTGGAGGGGAAGAGCCAGGGAGGTTATATATAGACAAGCCTATCAGTCCTGAGCATGAGGTAGGCTACACAAACGCAACATTACACCTTATACACACAAAGCCTGTCCCATGCACATACAGTAACACCCACTTTGGATTATCTCCACCCACTCACATAGCAAAGGAACACAAGGGTATGATGTAGTTAGTGAGCCTATGCTGTGTACAGAACATCTCGTAAATACGAGAATACAACGTTTTACGTACTTACTAATGGGAACGCTGAGATAACCTACTAAGGAAATGACCTAGATAACAGCCTTTTTGGCAGTTAAATGCAACAAAACATTATTTATAAAAATATATCAATTAATATGTTTTTTGAACACTAATTTGTTTAAAAGCATGATACGCTACATAACCAAAAGTATGTGGACACCTGCTCATCAAACATCTCATTCCAAAATCATGGGCATTAATATGGAGTTGGTCTCCCCTTTGCTGCCATAACAGCCTCCACTCTTCTGGGAAGGCTTTCCACTAAATGTTGGAACATTGCTGCTGGGATATGCTTCCATTCAGCCACAAGACCATTAGTGAGGTCAGGCACTGATGTTGGGCGATTAGGCCTGGCTCGCAATCGGCATTCCAATTCATCCCAAAGGTGTTCGATGGGGTTGAGGTCAGGGCTCTGTGCAGGCCAGTCAGGTTCTAACCACACCAATCTTGACAAACTATTTCTGTATGGACCTCGCTTTGTGCACGGGGGCATTGTCATACTGAAACAGGAAAGGGCCTTCCCCAAACTGTTGCCATAAAGTTGGAAGCACAAAATCGTCTAGAATGTCATTGTATGCTGTAGCATTCAGATTTCCCTTCAATGGAACTAAGGGGCCTAGTACAAACCATGAAAAACAGCCCCAGACCATTATTCCTCCTCCACCAAACAGGTAGCGTTATCCTGGCATCCACCAAACCCAGATTCGGTCGTCGGACTGCCAGATGGTGAGACTTGATTCAGCACTCCAGAGGACGCGTTCCTACTGCTCCAGCTCGTGCTGACGTTGCTTCCAAAGGCAGTTTGGAACTCGGTAGAGATTGTTGAAACCGAGGACAGCGGACCTGTTCTGCGAGCTTGTATGGCCTAACACTTTGCAGCTGAGCCATTGTTTCTCTTAGACTTTTCCACTTCACAATAACAGCACTTACAGTTGACCGGGGAAGCTCTAGCAGGGCAGAAATTTGACAAACTGACTTGTTGGAAAGGTGGCATCCTATGACGGTGTCATGTTGAAAGTCACTGAGCTCTTTTGTAAGGCCATTCTACTGCCAATGTTTGTCTATGGAGATTGCTTGGCTGTGTGCTCGATTTTATACACCTGTAAGCAACGGGTGTCGCTGAAATTGCCAAATCCACTAATTTGAAGGGGTGTCCACATACCTTTGTATATATAGTGTAGCTGTAATTTTAGTTTATGGTTGACACTGCCTATTTGCCAATCTGCGTTCTCAACAAGCTAAAAGAACGTGAAGGCACAACTCGTTGCTCCCAGTTCAAGTAGTATTGTCCGAGTTTCCAATTAGCTTCCTACTCATTTGGGCATGTAGTTAGTAACGTTAAAAAGGTTAGCGCTAATAGGGATCTGTTGGACGTACCTAACCCTAACCCCAAATGCCTCTGTTTGCATGAATTTAAAGTACTCTTGGCCCTGAGGCATCAGCTCAGTTGCCGAAGACACATTCCGTGTTAGGATGTGAACAAGATTCAACTCGAGTCTAACTTGTAACTTTCCTACACTCCAAACCGGTTTAAGAATCTAAACTTTAGTTACCTATTTCACCTTTATTTAACGAATAGTAATCTATGATGATTTCATACAAGCAACCTTATTCAATAACAGCAACCAAGGCCAGGTTAACGTATAGAAATTACTAACTTATAGCTTGCTAGTTACCGTAAACTAGCTTGTATTTATCCGGAAATTGCCAATTCAGTAACTTCGGTAGCTATATAGCTAACGTTGCTGAAACATTATTGATCAAGTTTATCTATAGCAAGAACTCATACTCAAATGTCTAATGTGTAATTTAATTGCACTAGTGAGCTATTTGATAGCGAGCAAACTCGCTGGTTAACTTCTATCCAGCCGCTGCAGTTCCTCTTTCAATAATGCATTGTTAGGAAAAAGAGCAACTATGACATAGAAATTGTCAATACAATGATGATACGTTGATATTTGTTAACGATAATGATACTCACCTAAAATAAATGTGAGATGAGATCTTTCGTTCTTGTACTTGAGAGTATCGTCGGTCTCGTATTCGTGAAATTTGCTGAATGCGAGATAATGGAAAATTCCATTCATTCCTTTGAAGGCGGGGCCAAATCGTCGAACCTAGAGTTCCAATCCATCCAATCGTGGTTTGTAGATTTACATATTGACGGTTCATTGGTCCTTTTAGTTGTAAGAACAGTGTGCGGTGGGCGGTAGAAAAAGCTCCGCTGCAGGAGATGGTCAAGCCCAACCCAGTCTCTCATTAATTAGTACATAAAAACATTGTGCTTATTTGTACATATACTACATAATTAATGAGAGACTGGGTTGCAACCAATAAACAGAATAAACTATTTTACCTTTTAATTAGATCTTTGATGGTGTAGCTAGTTTATTTATGGACTGTGTGTCCCATAGAAATATGATTACATAGCTACACTGGTGTCTGCACATTTTAAAATAAACTGTAATTCTCATTTTCGTGTCTGTATACCAATTGTGTAAATGTAAATATACAAATCTAGTTAATAAATAATAATAATAGCATTGTTTGCACCTGAGGTCGTTAATCAATTAAAGCAGATAAATAACAAAAACATGAGTGTTAACTTTGGAGGCTTTGCCTTTCGCTTTTGCACAATATAATATAATATAATATAATATAATATAATATCAACCATCCACAATGTATACCAATTTACTTCTGTCATGTGTGAATCTATTATATATTATGACTATGATGTCTCACAGTATATGATCACACATTTTGGTACTTGCTTTTCTACGTTAACATACAATAATGTTTATGTTCAACTACATAGAGAAAAGAGCTTGAGCAAAGAGCGGGATGCAGCACGTGTGGCATCTTGAGGAGGCACTTTGAGAAAGCTAACGCACAGCAATACAATTTCAACATGTAGCTGTAAGTTATATTTCTTCCCACTTCCCCAGTATATTTTTAGGGCAGTTGAATTGTGGGTACATACCACAATGTTGTAAGTTTAATCACAGACAGATTCCCATTTTACGTTTGATTTTAATAAATACTTTAGGATCAGAAGGCGCGAGCTGCAAAGCGAGTCACCTGCTCCTGCCACTAGCCTTGCCCCTGTCCAATGGATAGAGAGGGACAGCAGAGGCAACATAATTCACCAAAGACCTGGACAAAAAAAAGGTCTAAGAAGACCTCAAGACATGGTAAGTGTTATGTACCTATTTAGTTTTGTGTGTTTGTTTACGCAGGTAACCATTTTTTCTAAATAGATAGCACATGCCAGTCCTGGCTGCCTCATGTTAATTGTATATTATTGTCATCAAAAGTCACAGCGGAGGACATGGACCTTACCGGAACAGGTGACCATATTGCAGCTAATGGCAGGGGTGAGTATCACCCTAAATAGAGCTTTACCCTGGGGCATCTGACCCTAAAACAGGGTTTCTCCACCGGCCCTCCCAGATGTTTCACATTTTTGTTTGAACCCTAAACTGCCACACCTGATTTAATTAGTCAAAGGCTTGATGATTAGTTGACTGATTGAACCATGTGTGCCAGTTAAGGGTTAAAACAAAAATATGAAACTTCTGGAGGGGCCCTAGGAGAAGTTTGGAAAACCCTGCCCTAAAGGAACCCAAAGGGAGATGCCAAGAGTGAGATCTCCCTTGGGGGATTTCTTAAGAGAGTTATCAAGGCTATGATCGTTACACTACTCCCTCGGTTCAGAAAACACAACCTGTGCTTCTCTATCACGAATCCCTCATGCCTTAACGGGACATGCTTTTGACCCTCATACACTATCCTACCTCTTTCCATGCACAAAGTTCATATTCACCCTTCATTGACCCCTAACATATACATTTCTTATACATGTAAAGTAATCAATACGTTCCAATATGATGACAGGAATAAGTATATTTCAAGCCAGAATCCAACAGGTAGAAAAGTGAATGTTTCTCTATTTGAACTTCATAATTGCATTGATGTCGGTGGAGTCATGGTTGTAACTTGCCCTATGTTTGACAGCCACACTTCATGATAGTCAGACAGGGCAGACAGGGCATCTCCAGAAGAAGATTGTGGGGCTTTACCTCAGTGTGAAACAGAGGAAACACTACATACAGTTGAAGTCGGAAGTTTACATACACTTAGGTTGGAGCCGTTAAAACTAGTTTTTCAACAACTCCACAAATGTCATGTTAACAAACTATAGTTTTGGCAGATCGGTTAGGACATCTACTTTTTGCATGACACAAGTCATTTTTCCATTGTTTACAGACAGATGATTTCACTTATAATTCACTGTATCACAATTCCAGTGGGTTAGAAGTTTACATACACTAAGTTGACTGTGCCTATAAACAGCTTGGAAAATTCCAGAAAATGATCATGGCTTTAGAAGCTTCTAATAGGCTAATTTACATAATTTGAGTCAATTGGAGGTGTACCTGTGGATGTATTTCAAGGCCTACCTTCAAACTCAGTGCCTCTTTGCTTGACATCATGGGAAAATCAAAAGAAATCAGACAAGACCTCAGAAAAAAAATTGTAGACCTCCACAAGTCTGGTTCATCCTTGGGAGCAATTTCCAAACACCTGAACGTACCACGTTCATCTGTACAAACAATAGTATGCAAGTATAAACACCATGGGACCACACAGCCATCATACCGCTCAAGAAGGAGACGCGTTCTGTCTCCTAGAGATGAACGTACTTTGGTGTGAAAAGTCCAACTCAATCCCAGAACAACAGCAAGGACCTTGTGAAGATGCTGGAGGAAACCGGTACAAAAGTATCTATATCCACAGTAAAATGAGTCCTAGATCGACATAACCCGAAAGGCCACTCAGCAAGGAAGAAGCCACTGCTCCAAAACTGCTTTTTGGAGAAATGTCCTCTGGTCTGATGAAACTAAAGTTGGCCATAATGACCATCGTTATGTTTGGAGGAAAAAGGGGGACGCTTGCAAGCCGAAGAACACCATCCCAACCGTGAAGCACCGGGGTGGCAGCATCATGCTGTGGGGGTGCTTTGATGCAGGAGGGACTGGTGCACTTCACAAAATAGATGCCATCATGAGGAAGGAAAATTATGTGGATATATTGAAGCAACAGGGTTGCATCTTACTCTCCAAATTACTATACAAAGGAAATATTTTAGTTTATATAGCCCCTTTACACATTTCTTCAACAACATCTGTTAACCATCAGTTGGCACTCCCCACCCTGATGTTATCCCCTTGAACCCCAGGTAGGATATTCCATCTATCAATAATTCTAAGATAAACACCAGTAAGCTCCTTCGACATACTGGAATCCTTGGCATCCAGACTTTGTGGCACCAAGAGTTACCTATCTAATGGATTTAACCTCGTTCCTACAACACTGTGAAAACACGTCACATCACCCTACGAACAGTTCTTGTGATGATGTTGCTTCCAGAGGCAGTTTAGAACTCGGTAGTGAGTGTTGCAATTGAGGACAGACGATTTCTTAGCTTTAGCACTCGACGGTCCCGTTCTGTGAGCTTGTGTGGCCTACCACTTCATGGCTGAGCCGTTGTTGCGCCTAGACGTTTCCACTTCACAATAACAGCACTTACAGTTGACCGGGGCAGCTTAAGCAGGGTAGAAATTTGACAAACTGACTTGTTGGAAAGGTGGCATCCTATGACGGTGCCACGTTGAAAGTAATTGAGCTCTTCAGTAAGACCATTCTACTGCCAATGTTTGTCTGTGGAGATTGCATGGCTGTGTGCTCGATTTTATACAACTGTCAGCAACGGTGTGGCTGAAATAGCCAAATCCACTAATTTGAAGGGGTGTCCACATACCTTTGTATATATAGTGTATGTACATAGCTACCTCAATTACCTCGTACCCCTGCACCATGACTCAATACTGGTACTCCCTGTATATAGCCATGTTATTTTTACTTGTTATTGTTATTCACTGTGTAATTATTCTGCATGTCACTATTTATATTTTTATATTATATTCTTTATCTTTATCTGTAACTCTGCATTGTTGGAAAAGGACCAATAAGTAATATTTTCACTGTTAGTCTACACGTGTTGTTTTACGAAGCATGAACAAATAACATTTGATTTGCGTTGTGTGTGGAGTGTGACAGCTTGCTGCGTTCCTACATAGGATGTGATTAATACAGATTAGTTACAACTATTTACAGACTTCAGCTTTAATAACGTCACATTCATGGAATTGGTTCACCGTAAACAAAATAGCTCAGTGAGTCAATGGACAGGATAGACAGGGAGGGACAAACCCATGAGGCAGACAGAAATACCAGGATCAGCCTCCATTGCAAGCAAAGTGATAAACAAAAAGGCATATTCACATACCAACACAACAGCAACAATACATGTCACAATAAATAGGATACACCACCCTGTAGCTCACTGTATCCACCATAAACACATGAATACAACAATGCTGTTCTGTTATGATAATGATTAGGTTACTGACCATAAACTTGTTTTGCCTCCCTTATTGGTGAGTATGGTCATGACAGCCAAACTATCCAGGGAAGGGAGAGCATTATCAGTTGGGATGGATGTAGTTGTTCAGGCCAGGGTATGGGTAGATGTGTCTAAGTGGCTTGGAACACCTGGCGCCGTCTCCACTGCTGGCCTTGTGGGCACACTCATCACTGTCTGTGTTGCAGGTGCCACAGTGGCAGCTGAGGGCCACGGGGTAGGTGAAGAGAGGGTTGGCATGGAGCGGGCAGCCAGGTAGTATGACTGTTCGGTACTCCACCTGGTCATAGGTACAGCCTCTCTGGATAAGGAAACGCGGTCCGGCCAGCTCCTTCATGTTACTGTCCTGGTAATCACACACACACAAACACACATGCTTAACATACACTGAGTGTACCAAACATTAGGAACACTTTCCTAATATTGTATTGAGTTGCACCCCCTTTTGCCCTCAGAACAGCCACAATTCGTCGGGGCATGGACTCTACAAGGTGTCGAAAGTGTTCCACAGGGATGCTGGCCCATGTTAACTCCAATGCTTTCCACAGTTGTGTCAAGTTGGCTGGATGTCCTTTGGGTGATGGACCATTCTTGATTCTTGGAAACTGGTGAGCTTGAAAAACCGAGCAGCGTTGCAGTTCTTGACATACTCAAACCGGTGCGCCAGGCACCTACTACCATACCCCGTTCTAAGGCACTTAAATATTTTGTCTTGCCCATTCACCCTCTGAATGGCACACATACACAATTCATGTCTCAATTGTCTCAAGGTTTCAAAATCCTTCTTTAACCTTTCTCCTCCCGTTCATCTACACTGATTGAAGTGGATTTAACAAGTGACATCAATAAAGGATCATAGCTTTCTCCTGGATTCACCTGGTCAGTCTATGTCATAGAAAGAGCAGGTATTCTTAATGTTTTGTATACTCAGTGTACTTGTATACATTACATACTGTACATGCGATGTAGGTCAAATATGCCTCACGGTCGAATTCGAATTCTTTATAGTTCAAGTTATACTTATATTTTAGCATCTCTTCTGCAATGCAAAACATGTGACAGGTTATATAATATATCATGGCCAGGTCAGTCTTATAAAATATTATGCAAAATCTCGATGAGATTACTCTGATAAAATAAAGGTAAAACATCAAATGTTTTGTGGGGGTATAAAAGTTTATAAGTGAGGGCATTTTACAGATCCATCTTGTCTATAACAAAAACTAATTGAAGAACTAAGAATGTCAGGTTGAGGTTGTAGCCTACTTACCCTTGAGTAGCAGAAGCCCATGCAAATGGTCGTATTGATGGCCACACAGAAGTCACATTCATGTCTCTCCTCATACAGAGTGTAGTCCGTGGGCACACACATGGGCACAGCTTGGCTGAAGAGCAGGCAAAGAAGACCACACATGGCCACCGACGATTCCATTTGGCAAACAGCAATGACTTTCCGTCACACAATCAAGAACCTGCATGGAATTAGAGCAAATGGCAAGAATAAAATATGAACAAATCTAAAGTTTTTTAGTTGGAAAACTGAAAAACCTAGAGAGGTTTATACATTTGAGAAGCCATTTTAGTAAAAAACAACTCAGTCCTGCAGCAAGGCTTTACCAATAGCATGACAAATAATCTGTACCAGTGTTCCTGTGAGGTCAGTGCTGCTCACTCACCTGGTAGAGCTGGGCACCTGCAGGCCTGATGATGCTGTCTGATGGGGCCTGATGGTCTTTATACAGACGTCCTAATCCACCCTGATCCTACTGGACCATTATCTCCCATCTCTGACAGTGTGGAAGCAGGAGTCTCCTGGCCCATTATGAGGATGACATGCATTAATAAAAGGCATCCTCTGTAACTACAAACTTCCATTAGCAGTACAGCGATGTGTGGGGTTAACCTGTAATAACCTCATAATAACCCTGTTCTTTGGCAGCATGTACAGCAGTATGTACAGCAGTATGTGTTAATCCCACTGGGTGGCACAATAGAAAACGAAGTGGTAAAGTCAGAGATTGGCCCGGTGTAGTAACAACCTCAAGTCCAACTCCTAGATGAGTCCAACTCCTTCACGAATCCATCTCCTAGGACTCGCAGGTGGTTTTATTTGGCCCCTCAAGTTTACTGAAAAAAAATGGAGAAAAGAAAGTTCATTGTTGAACATAAACTGTAAGAACACCAGGAAATCAGCTCCAAGTGATTTTAATTTGGGAAATCTGTTCCCAAGTATTTCCATGCATAATAGAGAGACACATGATTACATACAAATGTAAGCAAGGTTTGAAATGATTATGTTAGTCAAATATGATGTATGTTTGGGGTTCTTGCAGTCTACAAATTAAATGTAATTATGTTCCAGCCCCCCGACCATTGTTGAAGAAAAAATCTAGTTGATGATCCCTGGCCTACAATATGGTTAAAATTACAGGGCAAAGTAGAGATGCAACCATAAGCTTACATATCCAATTATTTCAGATCTACATGTTCCTAAACGTCATTTGCCTAGGGGTCAGGGGCTAGGGGTTATTTCTGGATATAGGCCTACTTTTGTTGTTTTGTTTCACTTTCAATTGGTTGGAAAAAGATGTGACAGTGTGTTTAAAAACATCAAGCTTTACAAGCTATCACGTGTTCTGAAATATGGTCAAAGTTCATACAATGCCATAAAGATGTGTAACATTCTGATATACCTTGTCTATTAAACTTTGATGAGCTCTATAACAAAGTTATACAGGATTCCATGTAGGCCTATAAGTGCAACCTACCCCCATTTAACTATTTGCTGTTACATAAGCCTATTTTTGTTTTTACATCACATATATGTTAGGGTTTTGTAAGGAATTTGGTACCTCCACTTTAGGTCGCTGTGATGAAGTGAGCGTTAGGCTCCTCTCACCACGCATGTGCTTATCAAGGCCTTCAGCCAACCGAGCCATGGCCTTTTCACCCCACTATCATCTAGAAGGCGGAGACAGTACAGGTGCAGCAAAGCTCGGACCGAGAGACTGGTGAACAGCTTCTATCTCCAGGCCATCAGACTGAATTATCACTGTACCCCACACATACAATTATCTCTAAGGTCCCTCAGTCGAGCAGTGAATTTCAAACACAGATTCAGACCAGGGAGATTTTCCAATGCCTTGCAAAGAAGGGCACCTATTTGTAGATGGGTAAAAAATATCCCTTTGAGCATGGTGAAGTTATTAATTACACTTTGGATGGTGTATCAATACACCCAGTCACAACAAAGTTTAGGCGTCCTTCCTAACTCAGTTTCCGGAGAGGAAGGAAACTGCTTAGGGATTTCACCATGAGGCCAATGGTGACTTTAAAACAATTACTGAGTTTAATGGCTGTGATAGGAGAAAACTGAGGATGGATCAACAACATTGTAGTTACTCCACAATACTAACCTAATTGACAGAGTGAAAAGAAGGAAGCTTGTACAGAATACAAATATTCCAAAACGTGCATCCTGTTTGCACAAAGCACTAAAGCAATACTGCAAAAATGTGGCAAAGCAATTCACTTTTTGTCCTGAATACAAAGTGTTATTTTTGGGGCAAATCCAATACAACACATCACTGAGTACCTCTCTCCATAATTTCAAGCATAGTGGTGGCAGCACAATTTTCAACATGTCCCTGACTGAGTCTGTAATACCAACATGTTTCAAGCAGACCACCATAGTCCCCGTGCCCAAGGACTCTAAGATAACCTGCCTAAATGATTACCGACCCGTAGCACTGACGTCTGTAGCCATGAAGTGCTTTGAAAGTCTGGTCATGGCTCACATCAATAGCATTATCCCAGAAAAACTAGACCCACTCCAATTTGCATACCGCCCCAACAGATCCACAGATGATGCAATCTCTATTGCACTCCACACTGCCCTTTCCCACCTGGACAAGAGGAACACCTACGTGAGAATGCTATTCATTGACTATAGCTCAGCATTAAACACCATAGTGCCCTCTAAGCTCATCACTAAGCTAAGGATCCTGGGACTAAACACCTCACTCTGCAACTGGATCCTGGACTTCCTGACGGGCCGCCCCCAGGTGGTAAGGGTAGGTAACAACACATCTGCCACACTGATCCTCAACACGGGGGCCCCTCAGGGGTGTGTGCTCAGTCCCCTCCTGTACTCCCTGTTCACCCATGACTGCATGGCCAGGCACGACTCCAACACCATCGTTAAGTTTTCCGACGACACAACAGTGGTAGGCCTGATCACCGACAACGATGAGACAGCCTATAGGGAGGAGGTCAGAGACCTGGCCGTGTGGTGCCAGGACAACAACCTCTCCCTCAACGTGACCAAGACAAAGGAGATGATTGTGGACTACAGGAAAAAAAAGAGGACTGAGCACGCCCCCATTCTCATCGACGGGGCTGTAGTGGAACAGGTTGAGAGCTTCAAGTTCCTTGGTGTCCACATCACCAACGAACTATCATGGTCCAAACACACCAAGACAGTCGTGAAGAGGGCACGACAAAGCCTATTCCCCCTCAGGAGACTGAAAAGATTCGGCATGGGTCCTCAGATCCTCAAAAAATTCTACAGCTGCACCATCGAGAGCATCCTGACTGGTTGCATCACCGCCTGGTATGGCAACTGCTTGGCCTCCGACCGCAAGGCACTACAGAGGGTAGTGCGTACGGCCCAGTACATCACTGGGGCCAAGCTTCCTGCCATCCAGGACCTCTATACCAGGCGGTGTCAGAGGAAGGCCCTCAAAATTGTCAAAGACTCCAGCCACCCTAGTCATAGACTGTTCTCTCTGCTACCGCACGGCAAGCGGTACCGGAGTGCCAAGTCTAGGTCCAAAATACTTCTCAACAGCTTCTACCCCCAAGCCATAAGACTCCTGAACAGCTAATCATGGCTACCCGGACTATTTGCACTCCCCCCCACCCCATCCTTTTACGCTGCTGCTACTCTGTTAATTATTTATGCATAGTCACTTTAACTCTACCCACATGTACATATTACTTCAACTACCTCAACTAGCCGGTGCCCCCGCACATTGAATCTGCACCGGTACCCCCCTGTATAGCAGCTAGCAGTACTGTAGCAACTAAATACAATATCCTTTTAGCCAGCTACATTCGTTCGCAGCGACGCCGTTTTTCAAACAAAGTCATCACCGCAGCCATTGCTAGCTAGCCAACGCTACCAGCTGGCAGTACTATAGCAACTAAATACAATATAATTTTAGCCAGCTACATTCGTTCGCAGCGACGCCGTTTCTCAAACAAAGTCAACACAGCAGCCATTGCTAGCTAGTCAACGCTAGCAGTACTGTAGCAGCTAAATGTACTGGTCCTCTGTAGCTCAGCTGGTAGAGCACGGCGCTTGTAACGCCAAGGTAGTGGGTTCGATCCCCGGGACCACCCATACACACAAAAAATTTATGCACGCATGACTGTAAGTCGCTTTGGATAAAAGCGTCTGCTAAATGCCATATTATTATTATTATAGTACTAAATACATTATCTTTGTGCTAGCTAGCCAACGTTTAATTATTGCTGCGTTATGAAAGGAACTAGACACAGACACGAATTATCTGTTTAGCGTGTTAACACACTATTGGTAGTTTGTTGTAACCAAGTATTGGTGCTAAACCGTGTGTTATTGGATGCTAGCATGCTAGTTAGCTATGGCGTCATAGTTAGCTAGCTGAATAAAGTAAGTTGAGTCTATTCCTTGAAACATTGAACCGCTGTAGTTTACAACAATTCTAATTTCTAAAGTGGAAGTTTGGAGAGTTTTATTCGGGTGTTTCAGTGAAACAATTATAGTTTCTGAGGTGGAAGTTGGGAGAGTTATATTTGGGAGTTGTGGTGAGGGAGGCCTCGCTCTCTCCTTTCCCAGATGTTTAGTTCATTTCATTCCGATCTCCTCTGCATTATTGTAGCCATTTGCTACAGCCTGTCAACTATGCCTCTGCCTATCCCTGTTCTCTCCTCTCCGCACAGGCTACACAAACGCCTCACACCGCGTGGCTGCTGCCTCTCTAACCTGGTGGTCCCTGCACGCACCACACACCTGGAGTTCCAAGTCTCAGGCAGCCTCTGGAACTGCCGTTCTGCTGCCAACAAGGCTGACTTCATCCCAGCCTATGCTACCCTCCAGTCCCTCGACTTCCTGGCGCTGACGGAAACATGGATTACCACTGAAAACACTGCTACTCCTACTGCTCTCTCCTCGTCTGACCATGTGTTCTCGCATACCCCGAGAGCATCTGGTCAGAGGGGTGGTGGCACAGGAATCCTCATCTCTCCCAAGTGGACATTCTCAATTTTTCCCCTAACCCATCTGTCTATCTCCTCATTTGAATTCCATGCTGTCACAGTCACTAGCCCATTTAAGCTTAATATCCTTGTCATCTATCGCCCTCCAGGTTCCCTTGGAGAGTTCATCAA